CGAGGGAAACAGCTCAGGCATTTCTAAAAATGAGTACGAGGAGGTAAAAAAAAAATCCACGGAGAAATAACAGGTATTTCTCACCTCAGAAAGGTTTAGCAACCATTTAGTTCAGGAGTAGGTCCTGCTTCAGATTGAGGGCTTAATCTTTGAGCCTTACTAGTGTCAGAGATGTGGGGTTTTGCTACCCTGTGGGAGCCCAGGTAAACTGAATGAACACAGAAGACTTTCAAAAACTATACTTCACATGTACTTTTTTCAAGTTTGTTCAGATGGTTAAATTAGCTCAAGATGATCCACAGCTTTTACTCCCATCAGAAAGTACATGCCTACTTCCAATTAAGAGTCACATCCAGTGCCTAGCCTGGGACACGATTCAATCCCTTCTGCTAGGGCAGGGCTGGGAAGAAATGTCATCGGAGATTTCCCCAGCATGCACTGCTAGGGAAAGGAGGAGATAGGAAGAAGAATAGAGTACAATAGAATATAATATTTTTCAGTTGGAAGAGACCTATGACCTTGTCCAACTGTCTGATCACTTCAGGGCTGACCAAAAATTAAAGCATGCTATTAAGGACATCATTCAAATATCTCTTAAACACTAACAGGCTTGGGGCATTGACCACCTCTCTAGGAAGCCTGTTCCAGTGTTTGACCACCCTCTCAGTAAAGAAACGCTTCTCTCTGGCCACTCTAAACCTCCTCTGGTGTGGCTTTGAACCATTCCCACGCACCCTATCACTGGCTCTCAGGGAGACGAGATCAGCACCTCCCTCTCCTCATCCCCTCCTCAGGAAGCTGCAGAGAGCAATGAGGTCGCCCCTCAGCCTCCTCCTCTCCAAACTAGAGAAGCCCAAAGTCCTCAGCTGCTCCTCACAGGACATGGCTTCCAGCCCCTTCACCAGCTTTACTGTCCTCCCAGAGGCATTCAAGGACCATCACATCCTTCTTAAACTGGGGGGCTGAGAACCACTCACAGTACTCAAGGTGAAGCTGCACCAACGCTGAATACAGTGGTATAATCACCTCTTGTGACCAGCTGGTTATGCTGTGTTTGATGTACCCCAGGATTTGGTTTGCCTGCTGGGCTGCCAGGGCTCACTGCTGACTCCTGCTTCTGACCAGCACCCCCAGATCCCTTTCTGCAGGGCTGCTTTCCGGCCACCCCTCTGCCAATTTGTACTTGTGCCCGGCCTTGTTCCATCCCAGGTGCAGGATCTGGAATTTGTTAAATTTCATGCCACTGATGATTACCTGATCCTCTGATCTATCTAAGTCACTCTGCAAGGCCTCCTGTCCTGTGGGAGAGTCAACAGCACCTCCCGGTTTGGTGTCATCAGCAAACTTGCTAATGGTGCATTCAACTCTTTCATCCAGATCACGGATAAAAATACTGAATAGAACTGGTAGCCACGAGGAACACCGCTAGTGTTTATATTGCATTTGTAGCTGGCAACTCTTTTATAGTCAAACAGATCCATAACGTCCTATTCCAATTCCTAACTGCATAGAAATTTCCATTCTGTATGTCTGCTACAATTTCTTTGCTCTGGTTTGGTCTTCTTGTGAAAAGGGGGCAAAGGACAGAAATCTTGTTACCCCTGGTTTTGTGAGGTGGTTGTATTACGAGGTGGCATCCGCCGTATCTAAATACGGACTTGGAATTGGTACTAGAATAACCTTGGTTACATATATTCTGTGTTCTCACTTTAAAAAATGCGTAACTTGGGGGCAGTACAGAATACTGCTGTTATGAATATTGTCATGTTTTAAATGACTGGGTCTGCAAGCCTGTCCTCGCTTCTTACCCTCTTTGTATTGATGTACTGAATATGCTCCCCTGCTTGTGGGGGCTGAGTATGGACTTAGAGTTTTACTGCAATTTCAGCAGTAGAATCTGGAATCGGGAGATTTCCTTGTTTTCAGTGCTAATGTTTGTTGTGCTATATGTACATATATATGTGTGTATATACCTATACATAAATGCATATCTGTGCATACATATATAAGGTTATCAATTATCACTTTACACAATGGTTGTGACGGTCACTTGACACCTCAACCAACTGGTAGAAAAAAAAGAATCCAGTTCAAAGAGTAGTATCAAACTGAGCAAACCATGATGCTGCCTTCTTAGAGTCCCCTGCTCTTCTATTAAAAAGTTTCTAACTTCTGAAATGACTGGATCACAACAGCTGTCTTCTCTATGTAACTTCAGTTCTTGTTTAGGGATACTCTTCTAGGAGCATGGGGTTTTCCAGAAAAATCATGTGTTATCATATAATTTAAACTGTGTAGTAATACTTGTCCCCAGAGAGATTACAAAGAAATTGCACTTGACAAGTTTACTTTTACAAAGTAAATACTTATGCAGATTGTTAAAATTATATCATAGTATTAAAGAAAAACACCAAAACAAACAAACAAAAAAGAACAAACAAAAAAACCCACATGAACAAAAAAAGCAACCTAGGAGTCTTCTAATTTTACACGTAGGATTTTATAATGAGAACCATTGCTGATACTGAGGGGCTTCTTATGCTTTTGAATCCACAACAGAGCTCGATAAATATCACTTTCTGATGCTATAACTTCTTTGTATTGTGCTTCTGTCTAGAATGTAGACTAACATAACTTGGCTTTCACAGCATGGTGGTGTTTCTCCTTATGTGGAAAAGCTATAAAGTTACAAAAAGATCTTTAACGACACAGTGGATATTGCCAGTGTATCCAAGTTTTGTGTTGACTATGATTTCCTCAGAAATTGTGCAGTATTTTACTGTTACACTGGCAATGCATCTCCTGTAAATTTGGCTGCTTTATATTTCTGTATGTCAAAGACTTGATATGAACTGTGAGTTTTAGTTTATGAACTTTATAAAAAGCTACGTAATTAGCAACTGACTCCAGATACACACTTAATGATAACATATATTATTTCTGCACTAATCTGTAGATTTTGTTTCCTGAAATATGTATACCTGGAACTTGCCTGTGCAAGGTGTTATCACTGACGTGCACAATGATTTAGGGAGAAAAGTGATATCTGTCACATGCATCTAAGCAGGCTACGATTCTTCAGACCCTCTCTTGCTTATAGTTTTTCTGCTTTTGATTTATCTCTTCTCTGTATTGCTGATTTTTTTATTAAGCTGAAGGTAGAGCAGTCAAGAAAACTAAGTGGTTACTTCAGACTCTTAGGGTAGATAGTCATCTGTGTTTCTGAAGAGTAAAATTTTTGAAAGTATTCAGCAGACTTCCAGCTCTCTATTTCAAAAGTGACTCTGACTTCTAAGTTCCACTGCCTTGCTGTGATGCTTGTGCTACTGAATGTGCTCATTTTACAAGTTTGTTTCTTTGAAAATTTTCACATCTTTGGGACTATAATGTCTGCTGAACAATGCGATCTTGAATAAATAAAGCTTTGGATTCTTGGGGAATAAAACAACAATGCCTTCACTATTTGCTCAGTGCATACCTTCTTTTCTCCCCCCTCCCAGCTACAGTGTTTTGTGCCGTGGAGCTGAGCCGCCGGCAAGTGCCGCGCTGGGGCATATTGTGAGCACGCTGCCGCTGTCTGCGGGGACAATGGCTGCAGTGTCACGAGGGCCTACACAGGGGCGGTTGGTGGCGTTTCTGTGGAATTGCAGTGGTGTGTGGCATCTACGGAAATCTGTAGGATAAGCAAATGTAAAAATTCCTTTAAGCTGCCAAGCCTCTGAAAATGCCGTGTTGTGGCTTCATTGATAAATGCCACAAATAGCAGAACCATCATGAAGGACTCGCTTCAAACAGGGAGACTGCGTGCCATTCATGTTAAAACTTTAACTGTGGAAAGAAATTCTCATCTTCCCCACCCCTGAGTATGTGTTGTGAGTTGTCTGCTCTCAAACTTTGTCTCCTGTCAGCTGCCATCTCCAGTACAACAAATCTTTTCCCTGAAACCTAGCACACAGAAGTAGGGCCGGGGTCTGCTTTTCATGACTAGAACTAGGGTGATACGTTTACATTTCCAGTTCCAGGTACAAGAAGAACAGATAAAACTTCAGGACTAATGACCATTTGTTTAAGCTGTAGTAGTGCTGAACTACAGCAAGCACTTTTTAAGAGTGTGTTAAAATGATGATCAGTCTTTGATTACTATTATAGAGTAGCAGACTATGATACTGAAACTCACCTCAAATAAAAATGGGATCTTTGTTATTTTTTTTTCTTGGTTACTGACTTCCACAAATACTGTTTTTAGGAAGAATAAACTTCTTTAAGACTAGTTTTTATTTTTGGGTTAAGAATGGATTTGTTGGGTACTGCGAGAGTTCATAAATCTGCTGATAGAAGGCAGCCCTCTTATTTTCTGCACCGCGAAACTTCTGTAGTATGGACGGCTAGACATGTTGCTTATGTTCTGCTTACCCTTGTATGCTACTTCTGCTGGTCTGATCACCAACTTTTAGTGGTTTGTTTGTTCTTTTTGCCTCTTGAAGATGATAATGTGCTTTATTTTTCTTGTGAGTTCATATCATGTGATTCATAGAAATCATTGAGATGTATGCCAAAATGCTGGAAGTGCAGAAGTTAACACTGTAGAAAGTATATTAACTTATAGAGATAATTATATAGAAAAGTTGGCTCACATGAAGAAGTCTTCAGTTATTTTAAAAATAAAGATCCAGAAAAACTAAGAACTATTTAGTGACACTTAATGATGTAAAATATTTAAATGATTTTAGGTAATGAATTTTCCTTCTGCATTCAAGTCAATTTCTTTGATGAATTTAAAAAAATTGATATGTATTTTTGTCAGTGATATCTGTAGGTTTCAAAATGTGATGAACAGTGTATCATAAGAAAGCTACAGCTTCATAATCTATTTTATTGATACTTGACATTTTCCTGACTGATACCATCAAATGACAGTACCTGTAATTAAGAATTTTACAGATTTACTGATAGTACTTTTCTCCCTTTTTCTTCTTTTTTCCTTTTTATTTTTTTATCAGAAAAGAGCAAAAGGCCAAGTGCTGTTTGACAAAGTGTGTGAACATCTCAATTTACTGGAAAAGGACTATTTTGGGCTATTGTTTTATGAGAATTCAGAACAGAAGGTAAGCCTGTATGAGGGTTTTGTTTTTCTACATTGCTACTGACTTCAGTACTTTAATGAGGTATGTTGTATTCAATGTATGCCATTACAAACATTTGAGTAAACTGTTGCAAAATGTCAATTCTAGTTTGCTGTAAACTTGCAATATGAGCAAGATACTGATGTATATGTTAATACCTAACAAAGTGCCCATTTATAATTTAGAGCGAGGGATGTTTAAAATAACTACATTTTTGAGAAGACTAATTAAGTAATTGCTAGGATTTATAGTAAAATAGTACAGTAAAACAGTATGCTGCTATCCCTGCAAGTGAAGATAAGAAATTTTAACTGATATCTTTGCCTCAGCGTTCTGATAACTACCCAAATTTCTGAAAACTTTATTTAATTTTTTTTTAAAAAACAAGCAAAACTTTGAATGATAAATAATAAAAAAATAGTTGATATTCTACCTGACTTTCCAATAATTTTGCTGCCTTTTCTCATGTATGTTCAATAATGCTTTGAAAAGGAACGAGAAGGAAATCTTGCCCCTAAGTCTGTTACTACTAGGCCTTTGAATTCCTTTTTATTTATTTTAAGCTTTAAAGAAAATGTTGGCATTTCTAAAGATGAAACTGGAGATAGCCCATCACCAGTATTGGATGCTAATTTTAAAAATGAATGGTGTTTTGATATGACTACCTTCAAAAAGATCTCATACATACTATTTGGTAACTTTGTTTTCTTTTGAACTTGCTTATGTGTTGGATGATTGAGCACATCTAGATTGCTGAGCTGAGAAAAATTTTAAATCTGTCTGTGGCATGCATTCCACTAATTATCAAAAGCCAACTTAGTTTTTCCCAGCATCTGAACATTTACAGGTTGTTACAGACCAGCTATTGCTTTGTCCATGAACTAAAGATATACCTGTGGTCATCTTTTCCCTCATATAGTAAATAGACTAATTAGAAATTGATATGGAAAAAATTGTATTTCTTTTTAATCTCTGTATTTGTAGCAGGAAACACCATTGCATGTGTACTATACTTAGTCTAGAAGCTTCTGCTTTCTTTCTGTCATCTTTCTCATCCCACTATTGTGTTTGAAATGAAGTCTGATCTAGTGGTCTGAATAAATCTGAATTTCTGACCACTTCCATTCAAATACAGATGTTTTCTAGAGTTATTTGCTTTGCTGAAAGGCTTTCTGTGAAGCATTGGGCAAAATACTCAATCCCTCTGTGTAAAAGATCCCCATACATAAAATGAGCATGATGTTTTGGGGTTGGTTTTTCTTTTGATATTTTATTTTTGTTCTTTATTTGTTAAACCATTTATAGAAATGAGATCTTCTCTGGTGTAACAATTAAGAGCATCTCAGTAGATCTTCTGAGTAATATCGTCATTTTAATTATCATTTGTTACTATCACATGTTGTCCCTTTATTTGTGCTAGTCATTATTGGAAATCTATACCGTACACACACAGCAAAATAACATAAAACAGCAGTCTGATCTCTGGCAAGAAAGGAAAGGTCTAATAACAGGCCTAGTATCCTTGAACTACACCAGGAAGTAGCTCAGTTGAGTAGATCCTAGGAGGTAGAATAGGGAGCCTTTGGCTTTTGAAAGTAGAGCAGAAAAGTTGGGCTTGGTGTAAAGTTACATTGTTGTTGTTTTGTTCTTTTTTTTTTTTTTTTTTCCTTTTTAATGTGCTTCTAGTTGGTCTAAGAGATTAAAGAGTTTTCTTGGTATTCCTCAGTCATGTGAATGGAGGAACAGAGTGCCACACCTTAAAAAGAGGCCATCTTTTTTTTTTTTTCATATGTCTTTATCCTTGGAGAGATTAGAAACTTGACTGGATATGAGCCTGGGCAACCTGATGCTAATTCAGAGCTGGCTCTGCCTTGAAACACAGTTGGACCAGCTATTCAGCCTGAATGAGTCCTTGAGCTCCCTATCAATTGACTATGGAGGTGCTACTGTAGCAACACTCATAAATGAGGTATTTACATAAATTAAGAGAGAAATATCTGGATAATGGGATCCCTGTGTTTCAATTATTTATATGCCCAGACTAAGTGTAGCACTCTATTCAAAAGATGGGTAGACCACTTGTCACCTGAATTACAGACAGCAGCGGGCTTTTATTTAAAAACTTCTGGAGAATTCCGGTCCAATTTGTTATGAAGACTAAAAAATGACAGTTGTTGGATGTTGTCTTCTGTCTTCTTCATACAAGTAAGTTCTTAGTGTTATCTGGAGAAACTTAAAAAGGAGTCTTCCCTATCAGATTTGCATTTCCCACCTCCTACTTTCTATTACAGGATTAAGTTTAATTTATGGTGAACTGCAGGAACTACAAGATTTTGAATGCCAGTGAGTAACTGTGAAGGAGGGGTTTACTTTAGATATTTCCTGTCTGGATAGCCCATATGCTGTACATTGAACCCAAAGTGCCATTGTGTAGATGGTACTATGTCTCTGGCGCAGCTCTAAATTGTGATTACCAGGTGAGTGGGAATACCCAGATTTTCAAAGAATAATTTGAAAACGTGGGCTTTGGCATGAACTAGTCACTTGGCTAAGTGCTCACAGTCCTTTATGGATTGGATAGTCTGTACTGTAACGTGCACATTTAGATAGGCTTGCTTATTTTTACTGCTGTTGTCACTCGGGTTCTAATTCAAAGCTACAGCTTTTGTACAACACCGTGTTCGGAAGTTCTTATACCAGTTATGGTATGAACATACCCTGATAATGTGAAGGGTAGCTACTGCAGTGTGGTAATGCAGCAAAATTACTGGTTGTGTGCTGAGAAAGTTCCCCCCTCCCCAATTGCCATTACTATCATGCTGTTAAGTTTGAAACTATATAGCTGCACAGAATGTGCTTGGTAAGATTGTAGCACTCTGTTATTAAAGGAATTTTTTTAAAATACATGAAGACTGTTTAAATTGTTTTCAGTATGTTAAATATTTGTCATATGTTCTTAATGAATGCTTCTGTCTTAACGCTCTTAAGTGTCTCAACTTCTAAAATTCTTTTAAGGAAAAAAAAAAACCAAAACATTTTATGTTTTGATTTAATTAATAGAAGAAAGTGTTGGGATCTGATCAGCTGTGTTCAGCAACAGCTGCCATAGAAAGCTTAGGGACTTCAAACTTTTACTGTTTTTAGGGCCTTCTCTTTTGTTCACTTCTGTTGTAAGTTTGAAGTCTTTTTTCAACTCAGTACCAGTTCTTTCTGATGCATTTTTTCCCCTGTTATGACTATTGCCTCTTCAGATTAAAATGCCACAAATCTCCGATTTCCGGGCCAGTCAGTAAGTACTAAATGCTGAATGATTTGTTTTTCTCATTCTTGTGCACACATCACAGCCACCCATTTATGACCCAGATGCTGAACTTGGTGGCAGCTGTGGGGTGTGGAAGCTGAATGCCAGGCACTCTTTTGAATTAGAGCTGCTCCCTAATGCACCATCGGGGTACCATTGGAGGAAGAGTCCCATTAACTTTTCTCTATGGGCATTCTGTGCAGCTGAGAGGGATGTTATATCTTCAAATCAGACTGATTTTTGTTAGCTTTAATACACATTTTAAAATTATTTAGGTCAAATTACTCATTAATGATTTCTTTTGTTGTTTTGCAAATGTTAAATTTCTTGGTCTAAAGTTTAGTTAGTGATTTCATTGCATTACACCCTCAAAAGTTCATGAATGCTCCATTCACACTGTAATTTGCAGAAGTGTTAGAAAGCTTCTGCTCTTATGTTCTGGGTACCAGCTAGAAATGCTCCTTTTCTGGATTTGTACAAAATACTTTTGTACTGGTAGAGAACATTTGGTTGTTCTTTGACAATTCACTACTTTGTCTCATCTATAACCTTAAAACTCACAAATTAAACAAATAGATTTCTGCCTAATGGAGCAAAGTAGTGTGTACACAGTTTTTCTTTTGTTTTGAAAGACAGACCTGTCTGTTCTGCATTAAGAGGTCTATTTCAGGGTGGATTCTTTCAGTAGCATTTGTTTTATCCATAACAAAAGGCACAGATGCAAAAAACCTCACCCCTGTAATTATACATATAAATGGAATATAAGCATCAGCTTTTATTTGGCAGAACAGTAATGAAAGTTGGTGACAAAGTCTGCTTCCAGTAAGCTTACTCCAGGTTTGGAAAATCAGAAAATGAACTGTATAGCTTCTGTAAAGAAAGGATTATTCTTCTCATTTTGCAGCATGTTCTGTATTTTATGTTCTTTTCTCCTATTTTGTAGTGATAAAAAGTAAAGCACTGAAAGTAACATATACTCAGGAATCCTAGTTTTCTGCTGTAGTTATGTCATGCTATATTCTATACTTACTTACTTTATAGTATATCTAAAATTGAAGAGTTTTAAGCTACTTCTAGTTATCTTTGTAATTGGAAGAATATGAGTATGTATCATTTTGGAATGGAATTCATGCCAAAACTGAAAACCTGGGATGATAACTGTAGCTGAAGTGAGTTTCAGCTAAAATTATTTGAAGACTTCTGTTGTCTTCCAAGGCCTTTCTATGTCAAGGCTCTTTCAACAGACAGTAGTTTTTCTGACTTAAGCACAATAAATAGTACCCAGACTTTTTTGGAGGAGTGTTTTATATCTCTTCCTTTGTAACAATGTTACGGACTTGTGCATCTCTGGAAGAATTATAGTAGCTATGAAACATGGAGGTCACAGACTTGTTTAAGCAAGCAGTGTGAAATTATTCTTCATTTTAATTACAGCTGTAAAAATTATAAAAAAGGTTTTTTGCATTTAATTTGTAAGTAGTATTTGTCTAATATATACATACTGCATTTGTAATGAAATCAACTTGGACCAAGGTCATTTACAACAGGGAATTCAGTATCTTGGATCATATTCAGGGAAGCCACTTCGTTTATCAGCAGAGCTAATCTACATTAAGGATTTGCACTAGTGCAAAAACATACATGGTTCTACATTCTCCTAATCCTTATAGACCCATAAAACTGTAGCCCGGCGTATTTGTCTTCTTGAAATAAATTTGACTTTGGGTTGGAAAGCTTGGAATAAAGATTGAGGTATATGGTATTGGAAAACAACTGTTGCATCTGGTGTTTGGTACCATAGACTGAAAGGTGAGTCACATTATACCCAATATCTGGCGAGGTTAGGCAAGAAACATGGGTAGGGATATGCCTTTAGCAAGATTTGTGCTGGCACAGAGGTCCCCTTTGACTTTAAAGCTGCTAATATGTACAGTGGTTTGTGGAAATGCAAATGTTGTCCTTGATCTTGCAAGTCAGTTGCTAATTCTTCCCTACTTTGCACATGTCTGTCTTTGAAATGTGCTCAGTCCTGCTGGCAAGGCCGGTTGTGTGCACGTGTGTTTCTTCCATCTGTATGCTTGTGCATGGCTGTGGGAAATAAAGGTTCAGACACTGTATAAAGTAAATTCTCAGTAACTGCACTTAAAAGGCTTATGTTTCTAGTCTCTTAATCTATTTTCTAACATCTATGGGTAAAATTAATAAACAGGATTACATTAGTGATTTCTTAGTCTCCCTTCCCAGAGTTAGATTTTTGGATGATCAGTCATGAAAAAGTCTATTTGTACAAATGATAGTAGCTGAAATGCTGTGAGCTGTTTAATAAATTGCATAGGTTATATTAAAATATTTTTGGTATTGAGGCTAGAACACATTTAATCGTGAGGCATCTAAATGTCAAAAAAATTACTTTATTTGCATTGACTGGAATAGAGCTGAGTATCTAGATTTGAACCTTGCTGGTGTATCAGTGTTAACATAATACATGTTTATAGATAACTTTGCTTTGGGGGAGGTCAGAAAAAAAAAGGCGTGACATTTGATTAGGTTTTTCCAATAACCTTTGAATGTTATCAGAACTATAATGTATACTCATTAGGGCAAATGATGGGAATAATAAGTCTCTGGAGTTCAAGTGAAATACTGTCTTAAGTAACTATATGCGTAAGTATGGACGTGTAGAGATTACATAGCCATTCCTGAAAAGTCTGCTTACATCAATAAAAGCAGTATGAGAGAAAATTTCGTCAAATGTCTATAAGACTATCCACTTTTTAAAATTACAGGCCATGAGTTGTCTAAAGCAATAAGACAGCCATGAAGGGAGTGGCATTATGCAGTTTCATTGATGTATGTGGGTGGGGACACTTAGCAGATCACAAGTTCAATTTTAGAATTCTATGGGATATTTTAAAATAGAACAGATGTCTGAACAACACAAACTTTAACTGCACTGTTGATGAAATTACTTCACCATCTTCTGAAGTGATTTTAAGTGCTGGTTGTGATGTTTTGGGTTTTTTTTTCAGAACTGGCTAGATTCTTCGAAGGAAATTAAGAGACAAATTCGAGGTAAGTACTTCTGTATTCAGGTGTTACGCTCCTTTTATTTCCTCACAGAAATATTCTTCATAAATTTAGTAGCCTGGATGTTGACTAAAATGTATACTTACAGCATTAAAATAATTTATATCTGATACTGATGTATTCAGCCTTAGAACAGAAAATAAAGCTTCTATTTCTGTCCACTGTCCAAGAAGGAGACAAAGAATGACTCAGCCTCGTACTGTAGGAGTTAATCATTGTACTGGCTGCTGCACCAAAATTTTCCTGTGCTGTATGTGACTAATAGTTGATCTTTTTGCATCCTGAAACAGTAGATGTTTTTAAACTCTGTTCTGATATTTGGATTATAGGATGGAGAATGTAGTCTTGCTAAGATGGCCATGGTTGTTGCTATAGGACTTTCTGACTTCAAACACTCACCAGAAGAATATGAAACTATAAAAAGAGATTGAAAATGTCTTACAGAAAATGTATATTCTTCAGTATTGATCAGTCCAGCATTGGCTTTTTTGATTTGTCTATCATTTCCAGAATGGAAATGGAATAGGGTGCATAATCTTGAAATGTCTTGCTACAATGCTTTTCAGACTGTGAATCCATGTGAAGTCTTTCTACTTCCTATACTCAGTACACAGTAGGTAATGTATTTTAATCTGTTTGCCTAAAAATCTGTCAGAAGAGAGTGAATGGAGAGTAAATTCAGGAGATACTCTTTCTGAGCCTACATGTCACAAAATAAGGAGCCGCTAAGAACTGGGAAACAGACCTTGCCCTTACTGAAATTCTTCTCATTGATTTACTCATTTGTGGCCAATGGAGGGTTTTTTGGTGGTTGTTCTGTTTGTGATGGAAACATTCTTTTTGGTAGTGCCTGATAGGAAATGTAAGTGAGGAGATGATGATAATAAGATTTACATGCCTACATTTCCAACACAACAAGAATTTAAGTTAGTTATTTAAGAAACTGACTTTGAACTTTTTTTGGGAAAGTGATCCAGTGGGAGCACTTGTAATAAGCAGTGTATTATTTACAATGCTAAACAAGTGGCTTCTTTACTATTGTTAACTTCCTATTTTAATCCAACACTCAGGTTTTTCCAGAAATCATAGTGGTATTAATTCTGTTTTCCTTAGACCTTTACCAATCAATGAAAGCCCTTACTAGGAAGGTGTGGTTTATATTTTCAGTAAAGAAATTAAAGTTACAGAAGCTTCTTTGCAAACTATTTTTTGATCTTACATGCTCTTGTGTAAGCAAACTATACCTATTAAAATGGTGAATGTACTAATATACTTAAACAGGTAGAGGCCATCCTTTTAATTAAGCAAAAGTTACTGGTATTATAATTTCTTGTTCTGCAGGTTTTCAGTAAAAACCTATTATTTATCCAGATATGTGGGCCAGAGGCTGTTTTGTTTGAGTTTAATATTTGACCAAAGATTGATGACATTGATACTTTTTATTATTGTCTTTTGTAGTAATCTGCATGCTATGTAGCCTTCAAGTATATATCATGAATCTGAAGTCTAAGAACTGACCTGAAAAATTTTTGGATGCACTACATAACATTTTTTTTAATACCATATAATACGTACTACAAAAAAATGTTGGAAGGAGACATGATTTTTCAGACAGCATGAAGACCTACATTTCATACTGGAAATCCAGTTTCTTGAATTAGTCATTATGACTGGAATTTTTTCAGTGGTCTGTAGCACTTCAGAGTTGATAGGCATAGTGTATAAAGCAAACCAAGTAAGAACAACCATTTTGCAAGTAATCAGCACACTGTCAGTTGTGTTCCTCATAATTAAAGTTTCCAGATATTGGAATGTACTGCAAAAATAAATTTCATCCCCCAGCTACATGACTATCAAGTAATGAGGCTTTTCTTTGTTTCAGGCTTAGTTCTAAATATATTTGTCTTTGAATCAAGAATGGAAATCTTATGTACAAAAATGCTTAAGTATAATAAATTAGGTAACTGTAAGAGTACCTGTAAAACCTACTAGTCCATTTGAAATGAAGAAATTCACTTTTTCACTTGTACAGCACAAGCTGAAGCACTAGCATGCTAGATAAGTGTATATGGAAAAATATATTGATCTGAACACACAAAGGTGACAGATTTGCAAGTGGAGTTCAGCCTGTCAGTTTGCAACTTAGTATTTATAACAACCTCTGTCTCTCTCTTATATGTGAGCAATATCAATACTCTGCACATTGAGCATATTTGTACCACTTGTGACTGGGGAAGATGAAATAAGAATCCTGTTGCCTCCCCCAGGACATGTTCTGTATCAGGCTGTCTCTTGCTAAGTCAGGGTCCTCAGGCCTTCAATGTGATCTCTTATTTGTTCAGGTTGGCCTTTGGCTGGTCAGTTACATTAGATCTCAGCAATTACTGATGTTACTTCATCTAATGTTATCCACAAGTTACTGGCTCTGTTCTCGGGGCTACAAAGGTAGCAGAAAGCTCATTTGTTTTCAGCCATCCTGATCTCTTCAGGAAAATTAATTCTTAACTTTTTTTAACTCATGTAATTGGATATCCAAAATAATTGGATATCTAATTAATTCATCAGGAACAGGTGTGGTAATTATATTTCTGTCACTACCCTCTTGAAAGTTGCTACATCTAAAGTGGGCTTTTGCAAAATTGAGAAGTTCAGCTTGGATATTGTGATGGTTCAGGGAGTAGCAACTGACCTTGGAATAGTTGAATCCCAGACTTTACAGAGGGTGTGGTGGTTCACCCTTACATGAAATTTGGTTTGAGAATTTGTGTGAGATGTTGTACATGCAGTTAGGATAGAACACATGATACTCCACTTGGTTTTGTCTACAGGTATTTTTGTAACTCATTCTCAGTGTAACAATTGAATGAGTAAACTGCATAAACCTGGTTACATCATAGTGTTTATTGCAATTGAAGATCAATCTTTTGTCTCCAATTTAAATGTTCGCGGTTAAAGATTAGATGTGAATGTATAAACCATCTGTTCCGGGAAGCCTAATTATTTGCTTTTATTATTTGTGTAATTGAAGTATATGAAACTGAGTTAGAGACCTGCTTGTCATTCTCTTCACGCAAATTCTGAAACTATTTTGAGGATTTTTCCTTTTTTTGGTGTGGATGTAATTCATTCTGTTACAAACGGAAGTAAGATTTGTATGCTGTGCAGAATAGTTTTAAATCCAAGGTAATGTTATGTCAGGTAAATCTGTTTCTAGTCTGCAGCACAATTAGTATTTTTATTGCAAAAAATACTTTCATATTGTATTGTAAGAAATTGAGATGATTTGGATGTTCTCAGAGCAGAATAGACTGGTATGGGGAGGGGTTGTACATTCTCACCTGATAAAAGATACATTGAACTGTTTTTGCTCTTAATGTTAACTGTAAAATTGTCTTACCGTCTTTTGTCAAGAAAATACTTCTTTAGCCAGAAAGATTCTAGAAACTCATCACTGTACCCAGGATATGACTAATCCGATCTAATTTAACTTAACTGTGACCACCTAATGTAAACACTTGTTTTATGAAGGAACAGGCACTTTCAGGAGGTGAGTGAATGCATTCTGAAATAAGTGCCTAAGAGGGCAAGCAAACCAAATGCCCCTTTTCTTCCATTGCCTATGAAGGGAGTCAGTGGTGTCTTATGTTCAGCAAGGGTTGAAAGAAACTGTGTTCACTGTCATCAAAAGAGATAATGGTTATGGTGATAGAAACATTATTTTCTTTTTAGAAAGGGGTGATTAACTGAAGGACTGAAGATAGTAAACTTAATTTGCTTGTTATTTGATTCAGTTTACTTACTGAGGGGGAGTAAGGGAACTCCTCTGTAATTCTATAGAAGTGGATTAGAACAGATGCAGTAGTACTATAGTGCAGGTGGTTACAAATTTTGCGCTGTAAGTTTAAACCTTTTTCTTTATTCGTGCTGAAGACTGTTAGACTACTCTCAACATCCTTTTGATAATGAGCATCCAGTCATTCAGATTGGGGAATTTAAGAACAGCCCAATGCAATACTGGCCTAGACTTGGAGACATACTTAGCTAACAGTTAAGGTAGTTCTGGGAATATCATGGAGATGAAATGTGGTTTTTTTATGTTCTTGGTTCTATGCTATGTTCTGCAGCACAGCCTAAACTGCTCAGGAAAGAAGATGATATAGAAGAATAATGACATGGTCAAATAGTTATATTTTCAAATTATGCATTACGCTAAATGGTCATAATTCGTAAGTACAGTTCTGTGAGACTAATATAACCCAAGTTTAGAATATTTGCAGCACAGTGTTCTAAAATATTTAAGAAATCTAAAGTTTGTGTATAAAATACTAAGGGAAGTTTAATTAAGTAAAGGGCTTGCATTTTAAATGCACAGCTCTGGCGGTCTGATTTTAATGCTAAAAGATGTATAGTTATATTCAGATATCAAAATATGGGGGTCACTTTATTCAGGGTCACTTTATTTTATATCCCATCTATTTTATGTAAATAACTATATATCTGTAAAAATTGTGGCTAATTTTGATCTAATCACACTAGAGTCTAGCTTACAGTTGGTGAAGAGAACTAAGTACCTGTGCCAAGGGATGAGTTGTCCTGCAGAAGTGCTTCTGTATGTCAAATAATTATTAAAAATTATTTTGCTGTTTGGAGATGTTTGAGTTTGAGAGTTGAATCTTGTCAGTCCAACTAGGACTGTCTGTTGTACTTTGCTTTTTATGCGTTTTTGAAAATGTAGACTGAATATAGATACTCCTTACTTCTTTGATTTTTTTTTTTCTTGACAGTAATTGAAGAAAAATTATAGAAGTAATTTTCTTAATTTTACGGGGCAGTTTTACATCTGCTTGCAAGTAGTGTATCTGTCCTAGTCACACAGTACCTAAAAATCTTAGCTGAGAAACAAGAGATACCATGAGCAAAAGCCAGCAAACGCCTTTACTGGAAAAAAAACCTCACTGATTTCCCAGTTTAAATGGGATGAATCATGTCAATTGTATGCTGCTAGCTGGTTGGTTATAGTGCATTCTTTCTCTAAGAATGTGCCTAAAGTTTCCACAGAAGCATTTTTGAGGTAACAGGCTGGCTAGAAAAATTTTTGACATTTCTATAGCCCGTATTATTAAACATCAAAACAGAGGGCCTTATCAGGGACAGAATGCTAAATATCATTTTAAATATCAGATTTATTTATTTTTTTGTCTTGGCCATCTATTCAAAGTGCCAGTAATAGTGTGCATTATTGTGTGAAGACAATCACGTTTGTATGCCTTGGTTATGCGGCTATAAACAGTATGCTGTAGTGAGAAATATAAATATAGACTGTGAATGTTGTAATATACTTGCTAGTCTATATTCAGGGGATAAATGTGCTTTCAGTAATCAGGCAAAATATAAGGGCACCGACTGTCCAGAAAATATTTAGTACAAAGTCAACTACAACATTTTTCAGTGGATTAGCTATGGAATTAATATGAGTAGACATCTGAAATTTTTTACATAGTGTATACATTCAGAGGATTTATGTTCTTTTGAGCTTTTTATAGAGAATATAGATTTTTTTAATTTTTTTTTTTTTCCTTCAAATGGTGTCTAGGTCTCCTGGCTACAGTGCTTTCTGAAAGCTAACTGTAGAAATGCCAGCAAGAAAGAGAAATAGGTTAAGCGGTAATTCATCTGTGACTAGTTTAACTGTAATTTTAGACCAGGAAAAATTGCTTCGTACCAGGAAATGTTTCTTCATTCCAGGAAAACTTGAAGGCTGGTTTAGTACCTGTGTGGAAGGACACATCCTTCATCCATCTCTCCCCATCCCATAGCCCTGTTAATATGATGACTCTCCCTGAACACTTTTTGCATAGATATTTTGGCCCAATTGCTCCTCTTCATCAGTTTGGCTTACTTAATATCCACAGCTTTTCATTTAATGATGCTAGTTCCTTGGGAGATAAATGATGGAAGTGAGTAATCAATTCCAGCTTTATTTCTGCTTGTCATGCTATATGTATTAATTAGTGTTAGACATTTTTTAGAAGTATTTTTTTCTTAATTCTGTCTTGCACTGGATTGCAGTAGATGAATCAATGAGGCATATTTTACCCAATTCAGTACTTAAATGTACATCTGATAAATTAGGCTTTCTTGTTTAAGGAGGAGTCCTGCCTTATTTCATAAGCAAAGTTATTACTGTTCTAACAGATAATTGGTAACTGGGAACATTAAGATATGCTAAAACCCTGAGCTCTCAGAAGAAAATAGTGACTTAGCAGCCAGATGGAGAATGAGGTTCACACTTAAGCAGAAATTGAAGTGCTCCAATGAATAGTCATGTCTGAAAAACTGAAATAATTTTTGAAATGTTGAAAGACATTAGAAAATTTGACATAAAGTGCCCCTTTGCCTTTAACAGCTGTGAAATTTTAAACTAGGGTTTTTTTAAATAAAACAACTTTAAAAGTGTCAGCACTCTTCTAGCATTATGTTGGAGATACCATTTTAGTATTTTGTTTTGTTTTGTTAAAATACGGTTTTTTCAAAGTATTATTTATCTTTGTAGGACAGATTTTTAAAATCATTTTCTGTCCAGAATTCATCATTTAAGGAGCTTTATAAAATGATTACCTTTTTTCACCAAAGATTATTTTTACTAGGTCTTTCACCAAAATATTATTTGCATTAGGAGAAAAGGCGTGAGAGAAAGCCAAAAATGGCTATTTAATTGTTGTGATAATATTTTGATTTTTTATCTTTCTTCATCATTTTTAGCAGATCTACATTGTAGTGTTACTTTCTTTATGTTTGGCAAGATATGATAGATAATAAGATGCTCAACTGCATTTGCTTTCAAGCAGCATGCAAAACCAAACTATGACATTCTTTTCCTAAACTTCTATTTTGGGGTTTTCTATTACATATGTATGTCTGCATTGTAATTGATAAAATCTGTTTGAATTAGGGACGTTCTACATTTTGTCAAGTTATTAGTACTTTCCAGTGAACGTATTGCCCTTGCACATAGTGTTGCAATACTGGTAGAATAACATTTTGAGAATTTATTTTAATTATTGATGAGGGACTTTCAGATCTTAAAAATTTATTTAAAACTAGAGCTATGACTAAGGGCAACATTTTATGCTTTGTCAAATTAGTAATCTAATTTTAAGCATGCTTTTGCTTAAAAACTGAGTGTGGTGTTAACAGTTGTAGCACATGAGAATTTAAACTTAAAATATTGCTATTATAGTTGCTAAAATTAATGTTTCTCAAAAAATATTTTAAAGGAAGAAGAGATAATATTTTTTGTCTTCTGTGCATTTTGTATGAATATGAATAATTTACTTTTTATCTTTCTGTTGTATACAACGCAGACCTCATTTTGACATCTCATGTTCATCATTACTGTGCGGTCTTTTAAACTAACAGTCATTTTAAACAGGAGACCATTAGCCTTGGAGGAGTTGGAGATAAACACAAATTAAGTGCGTCTTTGAACACAGAATATCTTAAAAGTGTTAATATATTATGGTAGCTTTCAAATTAAAAGCATCTTCTGACATTTATGTAACTTATTGTAAAACATTTTTAAAAAATAATTTTCAACATGATAATCTTTCGCTAAATGTGTATATGAGTTACTACCTAATAATGAAAATAATCTATGCTTTTTACTAATACACTGTAAAAAAGAGGGAAAAAAATTTATTCAAGATTTCAGTGATCTAAGATTATATGACTGCTTGACATTTTTCAGTAAAAGTCTTTCTTTGCTTGCTTCAGCTTGTTTGTGATTAACAATCTGATGTTTCCCATGTTTAGGTTTACCTTGGATATTCACCTTTAATGTGAAGTTTTATCCCCCTGATCCTTCACAGTTGACTGAGGACATCACTAGGTATGCATAGTTCCTAACTTTAAACTTAAAAATTACCGTTATTCTAATTTGAAGGCCACATAAAATTTCTTCTTCAGTTTCTGGACTCCATCACGGGTTTAACTGTTACTGTAGAACACTATAAACTGTAGTTAATTACATTAACTGCTTTTTGGAACTAGCTTGAAAAGGCAAAGTGAAAACTTCAGTAAGAAACCTGAGAAAGAAGAATTTAGTAAGTGGGAATATGATTCGGGCGGGAAGTAGGATGCAAATAATCATATTTGAAAAATCCCAGTCGTTTATTGTCAGTCTGCTGCTTTGTTACATAGCAAATGAGGGTGGTGGGGTATTGATATTAAAAAGGAAGCTCAAGGGATCCAAGTTACTTTAATAATCTAGGCTAGGTTGGTAAAAACAGTTTTATACATATGCATTAAATAAAACATAATAAAACCTGAAAATAATTCTCTTTCAAAGTGCTCAGATAGAAAACACTTGGAATGCAGTGGATACTAGGCACCTAAAAAGTAGCACTGCAAAACCAACATAACCAGTGGGTAGAGTGCAGAGAATTGACACATTTTTTCAGGAGTTACAGAAACCCTAAACACTTAGTTTTGATTTGGAGTTAGCTGACTCTGCTGAGGCAGAATATATGTTACTACACATCACATTGGATCAGTCTTCTGCACAAAATAAGATAGCTACACAAGTGTGTAGCTGATAGAGTACTACAAATAGTCCAAGACATTTAGTATGCAGTGTATTTAAAAGAAGCTGTCTGTGTTTGAAAGTTTTCAGCGAGTTGGTTGGCTTTTCAATTGCGTGTTCAGCTGATAAAAGCATTTTTATGGTTAAAACTTAAAGCTAAATCTGTTAAAAATTAAGCATCACTTGTAAAACTTTACTTACATTAAAAATCTGTGCTAGGGTAGGATGTTTACTGATTGATAACTTGTTAAATTTGGTAGAAGGCTGTATGCAGTACCTAAAATATTAAATTCTACATACAAGGCAATTATGTGCATAAGAAAGGCAATTATAGGTTCAATACTAAACTGGATTGCTTTTGTGTATTACAAGACTTGATTAGCTTGTAAACTGCAAGGGATATAAAAGTTAGAATTTTAAAGCCAAAGGAAAATGTCAAAGGAAATGCGTGGGTTTTTATTTGTAAACCTTACATACCTGCAGGATACAATGTGAAAGAAAGGGATTCCTAAGTCAGCTTTTGTTACAAACTAGGTACAGTTTTTCATGGTGGAAATCAGAATTTTTCCCACTCTTCACATTATTTATAAAAGTAATATTGACTCTTAAAAATGGAAGTGAAACTTACTGTGTGGCAATAATGCTCAAATAATGTAAGGTATAACAAATTATTAATGCATGGACTTATTATTTTAAAATATGCTTATATGACTACATACATCTCAATAAATTCTGCCGTATCTTGCATAAACTTGCCATTGATAACACTTTCTCTGTTCTTGCTTTTGTTTGGTTGTTTTTTTCCCCCTTTCCTTTGTCTTGCAGATATTTCTTGTGCCTACAGCTTCGACAGGATATTGTTTCTGGTCGACTGCCCTGTTCTTTTGTGACTCATGCCCTCCTTGGTTCATATACCCTGCAGGCTGAGCTGGGTGATCATGACCCAGAGGAGCACCGCAGTGACTATATCAGTGAATTCCAATTTGCACCCAATCAAACTCAAGAAATGGAAGAGAAAGTAGCTGAGCTACACAAAACACAGAGGTGTGTCAGATACAGTGGGATTAAATGAAATCATGGTGCTTTGTCACATTTATGTCAATTCTCTTCAGAATATGTGTAAAACTGCTAAACTGAAGTTACTGTTACTTTGGAAATCTTTTGCTATGTAACTAGAACCTTGTACTTTCATGTATTTGAAAATAGTAGCTTCACTAAGGTCTCAGGAGTGAACTTTTAGAGGAAGTATTTTTATCTGAGCATATGAATTAGGTTAAGCAACATACAGCTGAAATATTTTGAAAGAGTGATGGTGGATATCTCTACTAAAGAAATGTAATATGCTCTGAAAGAACACTTTCCCTTTAAAGAGGGTAAAATTGCTATTGCTACTTTACAAATTGAGGTTTTTCTATGTGTCTGAATTCCAGGATGCCACTCAGTTTTGATTCTCAGTTCTTTTGTCAATAAACTCAAAGCTTATTCAATGGTTTTAGGGGCTTGACTCCAGCACAGGCGGATTCCCAGTTCCTAGAAAATGCTAAGAGACTCTCCATGTATGGAGTGGATTTACATCATGCCAAGGTATTGGGGATTGGTTTGGTTTTGTTTTGTTTTAGGATAGACATGCTTAGTATTAAAGAACATACTATATCAGTATATCTAGATTATTTTTAAAATTTCATACCTTGATTCTTAGGTGTAAGCCTTTTATCTCTTCGCTGGTTTACAGCTCTAACATCCTTACAATTTATTTTAAATCTAAATTTATTTAATGCATAGACGTATGTGCAGCTTGGATATAACATTTTATTCATAATAGCAGCTAAATACATTTTAAATGTCAGATTTTTGATGCCAAGGAGACATGGGGCCATAAAGTGAAGCCTAAAAGAACATGTAATTGTTTTTGTAATACCATGAGAGTTAAAAACAGAGTGGGTGGGAGGTCTTGAGGGAGGGCATTTTTTGGTGCTTTTTCCAATGTTTTGGGTAGGTCAAATCAAATTTTAATTTCTAGTGGGATTTTTTTTTTTTTAGTTAAAAACCCAACAAACCAACTAACCAACTCCCTCCCACTCCCTTGCACAAATCCAGAGTCTAAAATCATTAGGAAAATTAATGCAGTGTAAGCATATCAGTCCTATAATTTAAAAAGAAGATCAAGACTTTTAAGTACTGGAGAAACATGGTTTAATTCTGTTTCATAGGTAAACAATGTGCACTTCTTTTGCAATTTTCCATGGACTTTCTCCTGTGTTTTGTTAGAAGCACCTGAAAGAAATATACTTAAATTTTTATTCACATATATTAACTATGTTTGTAGCATTTACTCATTTTTTTTTAATGCAAGTGCACCATTTCAGCTCACTTGGTCCGTAATGTTTTAAGGAACATAGATTTTTTTAAAGTTTTATTGGTTTTTTTCTTTCACCACAGTGGAGTAACTGCAAGCATTGAAACTGCCATTTGCCTGAATCTGCTTGCAGCTGTTGTTACACCAGTGAAGCAACTTCTTAATGGCAGTGCTTGCGTCTGATTTAGTTGATTTGTTGTGGAGTTCATGAGATTCTGCTGCACTGTGTAGTGGTACAGTGTATCAAAGCCTTATCAGTAAGTGATTAGTTTTGTAGCCTGTAAAACTTGCATCAAATGCTGTTAGTGAACAGCATGCTCAGAAACACAGCCCACTGGCACTTTGAGATCATTACGTTGACATTTTCAGCCAGTTATCCATTACTTCCTATATCTTTACTGGAATAGTAGGTGACTGTAAAAGATGACCATGATCTCCAACTTGTTCAGACTTTCACTGACTGGTTTAGGTTGGAAAGGCCTGTTTATAATTTTCTTCTTTTAATATTTGTTGAAATTACTGGCAGCACACCCACCATACCTTTTCTTGCATGTAGGTTGTTGACTTAGTCCCTATCCCTAGACTATTGAAGAAATTCCCAGAACTATGGCATATGCAATGACATATGAGTGCCAACGCTCTTACATAGAGTCCAAGGCCTTTCCTATAAAATTTATATACTTGTCTGTTTCTACTTTAAGAATCTCATTGTCAAGGTCTTTCAGGTTTGAATGTGAAACAAGTCCCAGTTGCATTATTCCCTCAAGGTATGCCAGTGATAGTTACTTGCGTGGAATGTTATTAAACTGATTCTTATGAAATTGTCTCATACGTGATAGGATTCTGAAGGTGTGGATATCATGCTGGGTGTATGTGCTAATGGACTGCTCATTTACAAAGATAGACTCCGGATCAACCGCTTTGCTTGGCCAAAAATTCTGAAGATTTCCTATAAGCGGAGTAACTTCTACATCAAAGTCAGGCCAGCAGAAGTAAGTAGCACTTGTTTCTTTCATGAGATCATTTCTATCCAGTAATAAGAAAACATCCTCTTTTTATCCCAGATGTCCTCACAGGCTTATGTTGGATTCGAGCAGAACTTAAGAGCACTTTCTTTTACTCTTCAGATTTTACTGACTGTATTAAACACTGGTTTTTGATTAGTAAATGCAAACTAAGAAGAAAATCTATTTTCTTCTGTTAACAGATGCCATCTTGTAATTTTAGGGTTTTTTACAGGGAAAGCTAGTTGCACTGGCCATGTTCTAACTGTCTATACAAACTTTCAGTCCCGGGAGAGAGCCAGCTTCTCTTCCTCTTTGTGTATAATTGTTCACTAAATGTCAGCACATCTACTTTATGGCTGTGCTGTAAGGCTTGAGTTGTCCTGTAGGATGTTACAACTCTTTCTATTAGCTGCCATGGAAATAGTAGATTCAACTTTCTTTTCAGATACCATTATAAGTTTGTAGGACTTGCTGAAGGAGAGGGAGTTATGTTTTGAACACACTGTAACAAAATTTATCCAATAGAATGTCAAACACTGTAAAGTTTTTTTAGATTATACTCTGAAATGTTTAAGGTAGCTTTTACTGTGTGAATAAATGAAACAAAAGAAAAGTCTAAATACCAATAATACAATACTAACATTGTAGTTTTATACGTTTTGGAACACAGATATGTTGTACTTGCACTCACTGATGGTGCATAAATGTAATTTTTGCTAAGAAACTGTTATATAGTGGATGGATCAGGTAGGTTTAACACTGCAGTATGGATTTCAAGACTTTTATTAAATTCAAGGAAAGTGTGGAGCACAACCTCCAGAACAATTACTTCATGCAGTTTAAAAATAAATACGTTGGGCAGCTAGTCAGAAAATCAGCAAGGAACACTGAAGTATTGTTGGATTTCTCAAAAGAGTCGTTAGGGCACATTGTGACTAGCCCGCCAAGTATAATTTTATTAAAAGGCTGGAAATTCTGATTTTGGGGGGGGTTTTTTGGTGGTTGTTTTTTTTGTTTGTTTGTTTTGTTGTTTTGGTTTTTTTGGGGGGGGTGGGGTGTTGGATTTGTTTTTTGGGGGGGAGGGGCTGTTTGGTTTTTTTTTGTTTTGTTTTTGTGGTTGTCGATTTGTTTTTTTTTTTTCAATCTTATGAAGTTGTATGACAGGAGAATTACAGCTTGTTACAGTAATGGAACTATCTGAACTCTGACTGCTAATTAATAGCCAGCTTAAGGAAATGGATTAATTTATTTGTGGATTCTTTCCAGCTGGAACAGTTTGAGAGCACTATTGGGTTCAAACTGCCAAACCATCGGGCTGCTAAAAGGTTGTGGAAGGTTTGTGTGGAGCACCATACTTTCTTCAGGTAAATGATAATTCTCTGCTTCCCCCACTTTGCCAGGTGTGCTCATATCTTTCTTTTAAAGGATAGAAGGAAAGTAGAGAAGATTCCCTCCTTTCTTGCCCCTCATTTCTCAGTCCAGTAACACCGCTTAGACAGAAAACACCCTAACAATCACTGGCTCCAGATTACCAATCTTGATAGTACAATTAAATGCTTTATTTAAACTTTTAGAGTGCCAACAGGATGGAACTAAACTAGTGGTCATATGTAAGACTTCCTGAGAGATTGACTCTTCAGAGTGGCCATCTAGAAAGCCACTATACACCTTCACAGGAAGCTCTCTGGGTTTGACAAAAATCTTCATTTACTTCACTTTTCAGAATATTCTGCTGTATATAAATACTTACAGCTGAAATTTTCCTTATTTATAGACTGGACTGAGTTCACAGTCATTCTTTAAAGAAGAGAGAATCACTTTAAAAACAGACTAATACTTGTTTATGTAATAGTCCCTAACTTTCTCTGCATTTTTTCCCCAGCAACTGATAAACATAAAATTCTGAATTGGCCATTGAAGCTATGGTCTATCTGTAAATGAGCACTTTAACAATAGGCTACAGAGTTGTTTCTGTTTCCTCCACTGAAAAAGAATATGAGAACGCTTCATTTGATTTTTATAATAGCACAAACTTCATGAGAGAGTACACGTTCCGTGCAGCCGAGGACTCACAGATTTAGCTTGACTCTCTTATGCATTGAATAGGCATTGAATCTGAGTTTCTTGCTTCAGATGAGTGCAGTAACTTTTGCATACTAGGGTATGTAAAAGGTAAACTTGCTCCTGTATTTTATTTTAAAAAAGCAATTGTGTTTTAATACAGAGGCAATCCTGTTGCTGAATACTAGTCTAAACTGAATAAACTTGCTAGACTGAGACCTTCAGAGAACTCGGGGACCATGAGACCTAAGCAGTTCATTACTGGAACTGTCTCATTGAATAGTTTTCAGTATTCAGATTTTCACTGAATGTAGGCTATTCTTGAATGTAATGTTAGAACTTGTGCTGAGATTGGCGGTCTCCAAATGCTTAATTTAGAAGCACTTCTTTTTTAAATACTGATCAAAGAATTTTTTTTCTTGTTTGATAGAATTCATTAGTTAAGCTTATTAAGATACAAAGTCCACCATCCTATTTTTCTTTAAAATTTAAAGTCTGCTTTGGCTGGTGATATCTGTTACCACAAATAGTATGCAGTTGTCTGCAATGAAAATTTTATCAACACTCTTCAAAAAACTCATTCAGTGATTTGCTTTGATGGGAAACTGTATTTCCTAGTTTTATAGTAATAAAATGGACCTGAATAGGGAAAGTGAAATCTTGTGGAAGTCAAAAATCCTAAACTGAGAAGTACCATTTGCAAATGTATAAGTTTTCAGGAGCATTAATACATATTAGATAATCTTACTACAGAAATTCTGACATAATAAAAATAATTGGATTTTATTCCAATCATAAGTGGCTTTTCCTAACTAGGAATGACATTATAACGAGAATTATGTAACAAATACTTGAACCGTTCTGTAAAATCCATATACTCCACTGATGTTATCAGGCAGAAAATCCTCAGAACCTCTCATCCTTATTTAAAAACAGTAAAGTAAATCCAGCTCTGTTTTTCTCCAAAGATAAAAAGCAGAACGCTATTGCTACAAAACAGTCCAAGAGTGTAGCTCTTTCATAGCATGTGTAAATCTTGTGTATGATACCACAGTAAATTGTATTCAATCTATATGTACATTTTTAGCTTCCAGATCTCTTAGCCTGCCCTATATAACATTTTAAGATTCCTTGTGTTGTCTTTTGCAATGCTTATTTTTTCTTAAAAAATTACATTAAGATCCATCTTCTTACAATGTATGAAGTTATTTATAATAAATTGTAATGAACTGTATTTAAAATGACAACCAAAGGGCATTGGATTCACCTGTATCAGCTCAACCTTACAGGATTCCGGTGCCATTTTCAAAAACCAACAATCTACTTTAAGAAATACAGTCAGACTATATATCTACATTAATCTTTTGAGGTAAGCTTAGTCTGCGGCCCTGGATCTTAATGGCTGAAGAAACATGCTTATAATTCTGCTTTATGATGTTTTGTTTGAAATTTTCATGATTGTCTCAGTGTCTCCCCAGAATGACTTAAAATGGTAAAAGCGTAGTCGTCAGTTGTTTTATGTAATTAAGCTTGTAATACAAAGAATTCATTCAAATGCCCTTAATCAGGAAGTAATTAGTTCTCTTGTTTTTCCCCATTAAAAGATTAAAAGTTTATCTCAGCAGGGTGGAAGATAAAAATGGCAGTTAATGCTGTAGCTTTGCCAAGACTGGAAAATAAAGAACATAGAGAACCTTGGAAAAGCCCTCTTAGCCTTCTTCCTCTTAATACATAATGCACTCTCTCTTGGAAATAATGTGGAGAAATAAATCATCACAAAGATTGCATAAGGCTGTTTTATAGAAACAATGAAAGTGAAGCTCTAGATACTTAATTTTATTACGTAAGTGGCCTTAGTGCAGAAGGGTGGATTAGTCTGTCTTGAATTCTGTTGTTTTTTTGTTTTGTTTTGTTTTTTTTTAAATGTGTTGGAACACATTAGGATTCAGGTGCATGCATATTCATTTTAGGCATGCAGGACTGGATCCTTCTGGCCAGCACTCTGACAAAGCCACAAATGTCCTCTCTTAGAGAAAATGGTAACCTTCTACCTAGCTGTACTGGGTTTGCGTGGCAAGGTTTTGGTAGTGGGGGAGTACAGGGGAGGCTTCTGTGAGAAGCTGCTAGAAGTTTCCCCTGTATCTGGCAGAGCCAGTGTCAGCCAGCTCCAAGATGGGCCCACTGCTGGCCAAGGCCAAGCCCATCATCAGCAGTGGTAGTGCCTCTGTGACAACATATTTAAAAAGGGGGGAAAAAAACCTAGAGGGTACAGTAGCAGCAGAGAGAGAGGAGTGAGAATATGTGAGAGAAACAACTCTGCAGACACCAAGGTCAGTGAAGAAGGGGGGGGAGGAGGTGCTTCAGGCACCAGAGCAGAGATTCCCCTGCAGCCCGTGAGGAAGACCATGGTGAGGCAGGCTGTGCCCCTGCAGCCCATGGAGGCCCACGGTGGAGCAGATACCCACCTGCAGCCCGTGGAGGACCCCACGGTGGAGCAGGTGGATGTGCCTGAAGGAGGCTGTGACCCTGTGGGGAGCCCACGCTGGAGCAGGCTCCTCTCAGGACCTGTGGACCCGTGGAGGGAGAAGCCCACGCTGGAGCAGGTTTGCTGTCAGGACTTGTGACCCCGTGGGGGGCCCACCCTGGAGCACTCTGTTCCTGAAGGACTGCACCCCGTGGGAGGGACCCATGTTGGAGCAGTTTGTGAAAAACAGCAGCCTGTGGGAAGGACTCACATTGGAGAAGTTTGTGGAGGACTGTCTCCCATGGGAGAGACCCGATGCTGTAGCAGGGGAAGAATGTGAGGAGTCCTCTTCCTGGGGAGGAAGGAGCGGCAGAGACAACGTGTGATGAACTGACAACAACCCCCATTCCCAGTCCCCCTGTACCACTGATTTGGAGGAGCTAGAGAAGTTGGCAGTACAGTTAAGCCCAAGAAGCAGCGAAAAGGGGGGGAGGTGTTTTTAAGATTTGGTTTTATTTCTCATTATCCTACTCTGATTTGATTGGTAATAAATTAATTTTTTCCCCAAGTCAGGTCTGTTTTGTCCATGACAGAAATTGGTGAGTCATCTCTCCCTGTCCTTACCTTGACCCACGAGCTTTTAATTATATTTTTTTCTCTCCCTTGTCCAGCTGAGAAAGAGGAGTGAGAGAGCAGCTCTGGTGGGACCCTGGTATCTAGCCAGGGTAAACTTACCACACTAGCTCACTGTTCTTTTTGCCAAGTATCTGAAAATTCTTCAGTTTTGCTGGAATATCTTTAGAATGACTGTCAGTTTTCAGAACCCACCACTGGATACTGTCTTAACATATGCTGGACTAGATTCCACTGACATAGATATTCCCTGTGCAAATGCTTCAAAAGAGGAGAACAGTCAGCATGATTTTAAGTCTTGCTTTCCCATCTGTGCCATCCTCAGTACAAAAGGCACAGCAGTTGCTGGTTCTGCTTGAAAGAAACCGATGTTCAGTGAGCTGCTCATTATTTGCAGACCCTCAGATCAAAAAGCTCTGTGTCAGATAGTCTGATGGTCAGAGAGAGAATAGGCCATGGAAACTGCCATGCTGGGTAAGCATGTATGTGCAGCACTACATTGATCCTGGAAGGGGAACATCAAAGACTTTTCTAGAGAAGCAGGGGCTCGGAAGAGTTCCTGCAGTGATGACTGTTTATCCAATAAGCAACGATGGCACAGGAACAAACAGTACCCTCAGTGTTGAAGCTGTTGACTTAAATTTCAAAAACAAGTACAAGCAATGAGGGTCAGATGAATAAGAGCTTGAAGTCCTCATACTGAAGGAAATTCAGGGAGGTATTGAGGACCTGTCTCTTCAAACTCACGTGATATCAAAAACTGGTGGAACAAAGCAGAATCCCTCATAGCAAAAGAATTTGCCACAGTGTTACTTGGAGTTTCTGACATTGACACTTAGGTACAAACATACATAGCCAGCACAGAACCCAGTTTTAATAGTACTCATAACTGGATCTTTTTCATCCTTTTCACAATATGCTCTTTTCCCCTTTTATCCCTCCTTATATCTAGCAAGCATCAAGTTATATACATCTATAAATGACATTGTAAAGAAACTGGAGTAGGAATCTAGCTTGTTAAACTTCTTGGGTCACAACTCTCCAGCCATCTCAATTTTTTTTTCACTTGATACAGCCTTCTATGCAACTTTGAGATGTCATTCCCTAACTTTGAGGAATATCAGCTGCCGTATTGGTACCTAAGAATATAGGAAAGACAGTACAAGTGGAATGTATAGTTTCTACTATAAGTAACATTCCAAGGAGAGAGATCTAAAAGGTATAGAGATACTCTTCATGGACCTATAATGGCCTCAGCTTTTAAAAAAAAATACAATTTAACCAAGATAGCTCCAAAAGATAAGGATCCCAGATACTTAGTCATACTGTGGAAAATATGATGCCTATCAGCACCACTTCAACTGCGAGTAATAAATAACATGCATTGGTTTTGAAGTTTTTCTCAGAGCTTATGGTAGAATCCTTTGTTGGATTGTACAAATCATGCATGGTGAACTGAAGATGAGATACAAGTAGCTTTAAAGTACCTCATTAAATACGTAAAGCCTTTTTAACCGACTTTCCTCATTTACTTTTTAGACTTGTATCACCAGAACAGCCTCCAAAAGCAAAGTTTCTAACCTTGGGTTCCAAGTTCCGTTACAGTGGACGTACGCAAGCACAGACACGGCAGGCCAGCAACCTCATAGACAGACCAGCTCCACACTTTGAGCGTACTTCAAGTAAACGTGTTTCCAGAAGCCTCGATGGAGGTATGGAATTTGACTTATTTCTTCAGTGTAATGATTAACTTGTGTTGTCACTCTGATCTGACCAACATTCAAAAATGTTGACATTATGGATGGCGAGAATGTCAACTGACAAATTTATTAATTTCAATTTCTGGTGGGTGGTGTGAGGAATAGCCACTTTGGTTACTTGTCAATTTTAGGTGACCTAAACAGTAAGATAAATCATGCCTGAATTGTATGGCACTACTGTGAATATATGGAGGATTCTATATTGGACATGTGGCATCTCTGTTCACTACTCATATCTGTTTTATGGAATAGGCATGCATTATGTGCTGTTGATTAGAATTGTTTGGTCAGTGGCCTCTTCTGGGCTCTGGGTTGGCCTGAGTGCCTCTATGCCAAACGTAGAAGGCAGAACAAATTGTTTTGTGTAGTTTTGTATCATTTTGGTCAGTATATTGCTATCCTAGTATATTTATTTGATACATCTGTGTATAGATAACAATTCATATGTTGGGGTTGTTTGAGTAGCTAAAACTTTTTTGTCATTACTGGTGTTTGATCTTAAAGGCAGGTACAGCGACAGTATGTGTGAGAGATGTAGAAGCATGTGTTTTACTTTAAATCGTTTCTGAAATAATATAAAGTAAAAAAGTTCTTCTGAAAAATGACGTGAATCTTGACTTAGATGTAGGCATGCTTCACTTCACTAGAACAAAAGTGAACCATGACAATGATGCATTTAGCTGCAGTTCAGCTGTTAAATTTACCTTATTTTCTCCAAAAATCTTCTACTGAGAAGACAGACATTTCTGCAAAAATTAATTCTTCTATACTGGGACAAATGAACAATTTCTGACACTTGCTCGGGAAACCTTCTGAGAACCAAAGTAAAAACAAGAGGCACAAGTGCGCGCGCTGGTAGCATGTGATAAGTCCTTATGGTAACCAAAAAACTCATCACCACAACAGTGGTACTGTCCGAGTCTGGTTTAGTTCTTGTACTTCTTTTGTATAGAAACCCTTTTAATTCTTTCCAACTCTTGTAGATTGTATCAAATTTTTCTGGGATCACTTGTGCATCATCTTCAGAATACAGATGTGTATTCATGTGTGTTCAGGCCCAAACATTCACTCTTACAGAACTGTCACAGTCAAAATTTTGAACATGATGAAACATTGCTCTTGGTTTTCATTTTTTTCCCCTTAATCATCTTCAGGTTTCATCTCAAATGAAACCAACTATTCTTGGACAGCATTTAAGGCACCTTGATGGTGTTGCCATCTGCAGACTGTAATAGTTTTCAAGTGTGTTCATTCAAAGTCAAATTTAAACATGGTTCTTCATGCAGTAGTCCGGATAGAGGTTCATACTGTGAGTGTACACTTGAAATGAGAAATTCTGTAGAGGGTGCGCTTGTACTCGGCCTCTCCCTTGTGAGCAGCGTGTACAGTGCCGTTGTTCCTCCCAAATACCTAGTGTTGCATGCTCATCCTTTTAAGGGTTACTCTTGCTTCACTCTCGCCTCACCCTCACTAGAGGGACTGCAGCATGCTGGAGGAATGGGCTGAGAGGAACCTTATGAAAACTAACAAAAATAGATGCAAAGCCCTGTATCTGAGGAGGAGTAACACCAGTAGATGCTGGGGACCAACTGTCCCAAAAGCAGCTTTGCAGAAAAGGGTCTGGGGACTCCTGCTGGACAAGTTGAGCATGAGTCAACAGTGTGCCCTTATGTCAAAGAAGGCCAGTTGTATCCTGGGCTGTATTAGCAAGAGCATAGCTAGCACATTAGAAGAAATTATCATTCCTTTCTATTCAGTACTTTGTGAAGACCATATCTGGAATACTGTGTCCATCTTTGTGATCCCCAGTATTAGATGGGCATTGACATATTGCAGTGAGCCCAGTAAGGACCACCAAGCTGGCCAGAGGGCTGCAGGCCCATGATATATGAGGAAAGGCTAAGGGAACTGTGCTCCTTCAGTTCTGAGAAGGCTGTAGTGAGATATTGCTGTCCACAGCTACCTACAGGGAAGGTATAGAAAAGGTGAAGCCACACTTTTCTTGGGGGTGCCGTGAAAAGGCAATGGGGAATGCCTGCAAGTTGAGACACAGCAAATTTCAGTTAGAAATAAAAATTATTTTTTGTTTTGCTTAGAAAGATAATGGATATTGCTCAAAAGTCGACTGGACAAGTCCCTGAGCAACCTGGTCTAATTGGATCTGCTCTGAGCAGGTGCTTGGACTAGCTGACTTACAGATATTCTTGCCAACCGAAGTTATTCTCTGATTTGTCAGAAGTTACTTGTGGAACTTGAGGGACATATGCCCAAGAAATGCTCTATTTGCTACCTAAGCGTGGATCAGAACCTTAAGTTGCACAACTTGCTACTTACAGAGGCCCTGGAATCCTAATATTCCAGATCCCACATTTGATATTAGCTGGCCTTGTCTTCTCAGCAGCTTAAGGGAGTCTCTGATGTGGAGCTGAGACTGTTTTCAAAAGAGGATATCCCTTAAGGGTACTCCAAGAAATGCCTCTTCCTCTCAACTTTTTCACCTTAGCTTTGTGAAGCAAATGCATATATAGGTATTACAGAAGACTGCTAAATGAATTAAGTTTATATCAAAGTTGTGTTTATTAAAGCTACTTAATTTAATGAATTCTCCTGTATTTCATTACTACTATTTTGACTGAGCTAGTCATCCTGATTTTTTTTTTTAAAAAAGTTGTCCTGCTCATTAATCTTATTATTCTGAATCAAATAAGAGAAAAAAATAATTTAAGGCCTTTTGCTCTCTTGTGCTTTGACTATATTCATGTATACATATTGAGTATTTCCCCCTTCAATTTTCTGCAAGAATATAGAGAGGACAACTCCTACTTTCACTTGAGCTGTTGTTTCTGCAGGTTTGCTAAGGTTCCAGAGTAAAAATACTGTGACAGTTATATGCAGATCTATTTCTATATTGCATTAAAACAGTCCTTTCAAAATAGTAAATTTCCACAAAACACTGTTGCCTATTTCTCTCTTTTGTTATGGTGATTTACAGTCACAAGAACAACAGAACCTTCAGTTTGTCTTCAGAGACTAATCAAAAAGTTGATAATTAAATACGGACCTGATACTGTGAGGGTTTTTTTCCTTTGCATAATAAGTACACATTATATGACCAGGGTACACTGCTGTTCATGTCAGTGCAATAAGAACCATAGACTTTTGCAAAGCCAAGAAACTGAAAACTATTTTATCACTCAGTAACTAGCCTGTATTGCTCATTGCTGACATCACCATAAAAACATTTTATTAAGAACTCTTAAAAACAAAATGTTCCAACTTACCCCAATTAACAAAAATTATTTTGTTCTCTAATAGCTCCCATGGGTATCTCGGACCAGAGTCTGTTAAGAGACTTCCCTGCTACTGGAGGGCAGGCTGCTGGAGATAAAGTCATTGACATTGAAGCTGCTGGTCAGGCCAAGTTAAAAGAAGGTGGCAGAGAAGAAGATGGAAGCCCAGTCAAAACTCCGCAATTAGAATTGACTCAGGATGGAAAGGTATGGCTGAATTTCACACCCAAATTATTTGTTTGTGTGGTGTGTGTCCATGTGTGGTTATATAACTCCTGGCACTTCTGAGCATCATACAGAACACCATATTAAAATATTAAAGGGAAAATTGTCAAGTGCTTTCTGTAGGTTTAACTTAATGTAAGTGTGTGTAGGCAAAAGAGAATAGAGACTTCTGAGTGGTGTTCACCTAGGGTTTCTTTTATTGCTCTAAATTTAATTCGAATTCTCAGTGATCTTGCATGAGTTCTTGGAAAAAAATATTTCAAAGGGTAAATAATGTTTTATTAATTTCCTTAGTTTGTTTAGACTTTAAAAAAAAAATGTTACTATATCAACAGTTGTGTATATTCTACAAAGTTGGGTATAGTACGACTGTGTTTAATTACCATAGGTAACAGTATTGTTTTAGTAACTTGCAGAATTACTTCATCCTTTAAAAACTTGTATGTTGACTGTGGTGTAGGTTTCTGTGAAAAGTTGAGTATGTTGGTCTGTTCCTGTTGCAAACAATCATTTACTTGTCTTGTTTGTTTAAGCTGCAGGGGGAATAGGTCAAAAAATTAAATTTAGATCTTGTATGATTTGATGTAAAAATTTCCTTCAGAAGTGTCAGCTAAAGTCTGCTTACCTTCTCTCTTGGAGATAATTTCTTTTTTGGGCGGTTCTTCAAAACTTACTTTCATAATTAAAGAATAATTTTGCTTTCAAACTTTTTTGCAAGTTAGCTACCCATTTGATTCCTGCAGAGACAGCTGAGTTTTTCTGTGCAGTTCACATATTCCCACTGCATTCAAGTGTAGGAAGGGAACAAATACCGACAGTTGCATTTTTTGTTTACTGGCAAGTTGAAATAATTTTGAATTAGCCTAGGAAAAAGGCACACACAGTGTTTCTTTATGGGAGAAAAATGGTAAAATAAATTACTGTGAGTTTGGGCTTGGTAAAATGGTAATACTCCCTTGTTTTCAAAGTGGCAATATCTTTCAGTATTTTAACCAAAAGATGAAAAAAGGGAAGCGTTATTTTGAGAAGTTGTTCCAGGAAGCTGTTCAATAAGGTTTTGTTACACATGCCAATTCTGTGACTAGCTTTCTTTCCCCACTAGCGCAGATACTTCTTTTCCTTTCTGGCTCTCTTTAAATCTTAGAGGAAATAGTTATAAACCTAAGAATCAAAGTGCCAGCTTGTCTTTAGTGTATTGCACTGTCCCCTGACCTTTCTGCCAAAGCTTTGAATGTCTGTCTGCTTCCATCTGTTGTAAGTGACTATTACAGTTCAAAAGTGCATGGTTCTTTACAGCCTGAGAACAAAACATTTGTAATGGGTTCCTTTCATGATCCACAGAAGTAAACAAGTTGTCTGCTTGTAAAATACATGGGGATTTCTATTTTTAGTTGGCATTTCTGTTGCATTAGAGCTATCCCTGCTTCTAAGTAAAAATTTTCACTAACTAATAATTTCTTCTTTTTCCCTCTTCTTGTGCCTTCAAACTCGCATTTTGTTGTGCTTCCATTTTCCACTGTGCATAGAATTTTTTTCTTCAGCTCACTCACATACACCCATCATCACTACCCATCCATTCTGTGTCATCCCATCTCACCAGCCTCTCACCAGTCCCAGAGATGGACATGCTTTCAGATATTTCAGAGGAAGATATACTTGGGGAGCCCCTTCTTACCATCCCAGACATCTCCGAGTGCAATTCCATGAAAGAAACACCAGATCATAATAAAAATGAAACCGCTTTACCAAATAATATTTTGGAATCTATGAGAACCCTAGCTAGTCAAGGCTCCCCTGCTTTGGAGGGAAAAATCCACACAAATGACTACAAAAGCACTGAGTTGTGTGTCTCGTGCAGCTTTATCAGATACTTTTCTTTTAGTTTCCGTTCACTGCTTGATGAAGATGGCTACATTACTTTTCCTAGCCTTCCTGATGTTTGCATCTCTTTCCTCCCACCTGGTCTTCAGCACTATATTCCTATTACCTCTCCTTCCTTCATCCCCTCTTTTCTCCTTATCTTTGTGCTGCTTCTGTCTGCTTTCCAGTCTGTTCCTTTTTCGCTCACATTTTCCCTTCCTCTCGCCCTGTCCCTCTGCTACCTGGAGCCTAAGGTGACTTCCTTTAGTGCCTCTAATGACAGTGACCTGAATGACAAAGCAGAGGAAGAGGAGGTGTGTAATTTTGTTGCTTAAATGCTGACACTTGCACATAGCTTTTATGCTTGTTCTCCCAGAGGCTTGCTCAGTTTTGCACACTTCCTAGTATAGGGATATGTCTATGTACATGCCTGTATATTTATATATATATAAATACACACAAGTGTGTATATCTGTATCTTTCTAACTTTTCTCATTTGTGAAAAATTGCCATTGCGGGATTTTTAGTCAATAGATAGCTGGTGTTTTTTCTGCCTGAATTCCTACAGCATGCATAATTTTGTTAGATTTCACAGATACTGAGCTGCAGGTAGAATTGCTTTGTAGTTCAGAATGTTTATGAGCACATAAATCTGAATACTGCAAGTGCTGTCTAATAACAGATATATATAATTACTTTATACTATTTGCAAGTTGTTCTACTTGCAGTATCAGTTTGTGTTAAAATGCATGTCTCCTGCCTGCATTGACTGGAATGCACATCTCCTAAGTTTTGGTTAGATTTGAAATTGAAGTTCCTAAAAGCTGAATTCAGAAAACTGTGATTGCTTTAAAATCAGCTTTTTTGTTATTCTAGGTTTCAGGCCTTTCTGCTCTACAAGGGTGTGTGCAAAGTTGAGTCTGTCCAAGGCACTTCTGTTTTTTTCTTAAGTGCTCTGATTAATCTCTATCAGCAGTTCAGGTGGAGGCTGATTTTGTTCATTATCTGGGACTGCAGTTTGTGTCAGACTTCAGCCACTGGAGTCTGAACTTTCTTTGAAATACACTGTTAAAATTGCTGTATAGAAGCCTCAGTCACACTAATATGTTGCTCTAGTCATCTGGCGTGGTTGACAAAATGCCTCCTTTCCTTATGTCTGCTGTGTATGTTACAGCAGTATCACCAGAAAAAAGGTGTTTTATTTTGATCTTCAAAGGAAATATGAAATCAAATATGGTAGAATCAGAAAGGCGGAGGGCCTGTTCAATGTTACGTTTGACAAAGTTTGTTAAACTGATGAAGTCAATAAAATATACATATTAAAAACATGCTAAATATGACATGATGTCATTAAAAACACGAATCTAAGTTTAAAATAATTAAAAACACAACTTTAACGACTTGCTCAGTTTTACTGTAACCTAATTCAATCCATTATTTGTAACATAAAGTTGCAGAAAATAGAACCCCAGATAAAAGAGAAATTAACAAAAATGCAGTATGTACCACATTATGTGTGCATTCACACAGAATCCAAAATGCAACAGTATGTGAAGTAAGTAAACCCCTCTTCAAATTTATGTACTTGCATAGTGTTGACTTCTAAATGCATCTTTTCGTAGATTGGCAGTTGATATTTGTACATGTGGAAAGTCTGGGAGGTAGTTTGCTTTTTAAAGAATGCTGTTCCTTAAGGCATTCAGAATAACTGGAGGGAAGATACAAAGATTAGCTATAATTTCCAACAGAGTGCATTGCAGTTTAAGGAAGAATATATTCACCTAAAAGAGGGGGGATGGGGTGCAAGTAAGTCATCCCAAGACAGCAACATTCTTAAAATAATTAAGACAGTTTGTAAATACAGTATTTAGGTGTTTGACTTGAACCCTAGAATCTCTTACCAAAAGAACTCATGCATTAGATGCCATGTTCCCATCAACTTGTTGCAGAGTTTAAGACACTTACCATAGAAATTACGCATTTCATTTTTTTTCTTTACTCATTCTTAAATTTCCATCTGGGAAAACACTGAAAAGTACAGCAAGAAAGGGACACTGTATGAAACTACCATTTTTCATGCCACTTATGCCAAATATTACTTCAGCCATTCTACGACAATGTAGGTGATGGAAGACCAAAGTCGCTTAATAATTTCAGCATCTGGGGCCGAAACAGTAAAGGTCTGTAAATACAGCACGCTTTGCAGCATTTACAAAGAGATGAAGTTTCTGTGTTAGTCTGTAAGCCTATGTTAACAGTTCCTTTTCTTGATAATTTGCCATGTGCTCATGTAGGTGGAATCTGAAGAGGAAGAAGCACAGCAGAAGGTGCATGGTTGTTTTTTTTACAATTAAAACTGGCTGTAGCTGCCTGCATTGTTACCACCCTAAACTTTCTGTGGATTTAGTCTGAATAGTGACGTTTCACCTTACCATTTTATTTACTTTAATTAACTATCTGATTCTAAGGATTTTTTTTTATTTACATGCTGGTACATCTTATGTTCATTTTTTTTTTTTTTTTTTTCTTTTTTTGTGTGTGTGTGGCTTAACTTCACAGAGCAATTCCTTGAGAGTAGACGGGGAAAATATTTATGTCAGACATAGCAATTTAATGTTGGAGGTTTGTATATAATATAAGAAACACTTTCCCTTCTCACCGGCTGCCAGGCTGCATGGGATGGGAGGTCACTTGCAGGCTGTTACGGACACAGTGCATGAAGTGCATGGGGGAAAAACAGCTTGGAAATGTTGCATGTTATCACTGTAGTTTTTGAGTTTAAATTTAAGAAAAAAAAAAACAACAAACACCCCACCCCCCACCTCCCAAAATCCAAAGAAACAAAAAAATCCCTCAGTTTGAATGTTAAATGGATGTTTTGTGTATTTTTGCTAGATGTTTTCAAGGTGGCAACTGGGAATAATAGCCCTATTTAGATAAAGCAAACACATAGGTCCAATTAATAATCCTAAATGGGATTTTTATACATTGCTTCTCAATGGGTGCATCTGCTGTTGAGCAGGGTTTCTAGTTTTTGCCAGTTTAATCAACTTTTATCAAATACGTTATCTGAGTAAATGGATTTAATAAGTCACAAGCAGTGGTGGAAGTATGGAAAAACTAATGCTGGTTCTGACACTCACTGATTTTAGGAGCTTTGAGGAATGTATATGAAGATCAGATTTTTAAAGGGAACATTTAGATATGCTTCATGAAATCTGCTTTATTTTTTTTACTTTTCAAATGGAAGTAACTCTTGCTTCCTAAAGGTTGTTTTTCATTGAAGATGAGCAACAACAAAGGGCTTTGAACAGTATGTTAATGCATATTACTTTGTCACTGGAGGAGAGATTTTTATTACAAGAATTTTCATGTAGTCTGTTAATCTGGATTATTTTATCAAAGACTATCTGTAGTTACAATCTGTATCATTTAATTTGTGGTTAATAACATAAGATAGAAAGTGAAGAAATTTTAGAAAATCCAAATGCTGTCTTCAATTTATTTTATTCATCCAGATGGGGCTATAAATAATTCCCTTTGTCACACAAAAACTGTCTCTTTAAAGATCATTGCTTTCGTTCAGTAATAAGGAGACATATGGATCGCAGTAACCCAACTAATACTTTTTCTGGCTTTTTGCATTTTTTGATCATTATTGAAACTTTGCTTGTGTATAACTTACTAAAGCACTGAAAGTGTGCATTGCGTAACTGTGCTTTGATCAAGTCCAAGAAATGTGCCTTGTGTCAAGCCAAGACAGGTTTTAAAATAATGACATGATTATTACGAGCTTCAGCTGTATAATAGAATGCCTTTGACATAAAGTTTTACTTCATTCACAGAATACATACTTTAGGGGGACATATTTAATGTCTCGTTTGTTAGTCCTAGACTAAAAGTGTGAAGCATTGGTCCTGTGACAATATGAAGGTATGAGTTGCCAGAAGGGGAGAGGTTCTTAGTGTTCAAAGTGCATGTGTGAATATTCGCAGAATTAGGAAATAGATGTGCAGCACCAAACTGTTACTGGGGCTGAACACGCAAGTGAAAAGAAATCAGAAACTAATGAGTTTGTATTGGGTTTGGATTTTTCATGACTTAAGAGTTTGCATTGAGCACTGACTGTAAAAATCCTAAACAAAATGTCGAAAATAAAATTGCAAAATGTTCTGTTACATTGTATAAAATCTTTATACAAAACCCAGATGCTTTACCTAAATTATTTTATCTGGATACATTCGTTTTTCATTAATAATTACATCTACATTGATATTATTCCATGTTAATTTTCAGTCTTTTAATTCTATAGTAAAAATGGATCTGAGGCTTAAACTTGAATTTCACCACAAAATACTGAAAAATATTCTTGTATTAGAGTGTGCATAACCAACATAGGCTTTTCTCAAGACCTGGCATGCTGGAAGGAGGGCAGATTATGCAAGCAGAATGAAACCTGCTCTTCCCACCGAAGCCCAGCATTGTATTCAAAGGATAATCAATTTACAAGAGAGCTAAGCAGATAGATTTTTGCCTACTTAAGAGAACAGTTACGTTTCTTCATAGCTCCCGACCTTCTGTCTGCTGCTGTATCTGTAGCTTATAGGTACTTGATCTAAGGTGCTGCAGCTTAACCTTAATGGGTCATCAGAAGATCTAATTTGATATTTGTGCTATAGTGTCCCCTTGGCACTTGTCTATGTAGGTGCAATTTAGAGAGAACATCTCTTTGGTATTGGCATGCACAAAAACTATCCCTACTTGAGTGCTGTGTCTGCTGTCAGGTTCTTAAATGTAGAATTGACAGATATCAGGCTTTAAGTCTTTAAATCTGATTCTTCCAGTAAGTTTAAACCTACGTGACAGTCCCAATGAGTGGTCCATTTGAAGTTAAGCAGGTGTTGCTTGCATATTTGGCCTTGTAGTATTGTTCACAGAAATACTTTTTATGGAGCTTGTAATATCAAGAAAAATGCATTTTTATAATGCTTCTTGGGTTAGACTATTCTTTCTTACAGCTACCTTCAGTGATGTTAGTTCTGCAATATCTCAAAACTTTTGCTCTGTGCCTACAAATTTTAGATGAAAGCAAGCAACTACTGGAAATTATTATTGTTTCAAAGGGCTAGTGGTTTTATGTTTCAGATGAAAATAGCCCACTGTTAAATAACAGTGAACAGCATTATTTTTCATTTGCCTTAAAATGTGCAAGAAACAGTGTATGAATGTCCCTTCGTTACAAAAACAAAACCAAAAAATCCTGGTTCCCTTACAGCCTTACACTTTTTTATTTTAAGACACTCCAAGGAAGAATAGCTCTTCAGACACAAGGCACTTTCCTTGGTTTCTTTTTTTTTTTCTTTTTTGTGTTTTTTTTTTTTTTTTTGTTCTTGTTGTTGTTTTTTGTTTTTTCCAGTTAAGTTTGCTTTTGTTGTCGTGTTTTGTCCTACTTTGTTTTACGTTGTGGGTTGCTAGGACCTGGATAAGACCCAGGACGACTTACTGAAACACCAGGCTAGCATTAGTGAGCTCAAGCGCAATTTCATGGAATCCACACCTGAACCACGCCCAAATGAGTGGGAAAAGCGGCGTATCACACCTCTGTCCCTACAGACACAAGGGGTATGTCACTGCAGACACTTGTCCGCATGCGTTTCCATAAAACCCTGTATGTAAGACAGTAAATGATGTTTGTCCTTTAGAATAACACTTTCTTTGGCTAATGTAATATTTGTTTATACTAAGTATACATTAACTTTTTACCACTTAACCATTGGACCTGATTTTAAACAATGTGTGGGATTTTATTCTTCTACAAGTGCAAATGAATTAAAATCAATAGAAAAAAAGTGAGGAGATTGGCAGTATTTTCCTGTGTGTTAAGTGCAGTTTAAATCTCATTCTGATTTACACAGATTGATGGAGAACACTTCAGTGAAAGTAGAACTTTACCCTCCTTTTCTCTCTAACTCTTTACAGACAGCTTGTGCATAAACACACACACACAGCCTGTGTGTTGTTTCAGAAAGACCTTACATGATCAGTTAATTTAGTCTTGACTTCTTCCGGACAGATTTAATGGAGTTGTTAAAAATGACCCACCTTAATCTCCAAAATGAATTTATCTACTTCTTCTCTATACCTTCTACCTGACTGAACCTTAAAACAGCAGTTTGGAAAACGATTTTCTACAAATACCATCCTGAATGCTTGTGACAAGAAAACTACCCAAATACATTTATTTTGCTGATGTGAAACTTTTAGTTTTATGGGAAGTTATTTGCTGATTCTTTCATAGAGTAGGGGATCAAATCAGTCTTTGAAAGCAATCGATTTATCTTCTGTTGTTATCCTTTTCTTTCTCTATTGTTCCTACCCTTCCCTCCTAAATGTATTGTCTTATCCCATTAAATTTTTAAGTATTCTCTTTAGTCCCCAGAGAGGTGAACTTTCAAATAAGCTTGCTTGATGCTATCAAATGATTTTTGTTAATAAGGCATTATTTCAATAAGATACTTAAGCTAACTGAACTGTCGGTATGTGCATACAGACAATTCAGTCACTGACTGTATGGATCACTTCCTTAAAGACTGTTTTGTTAATATATGGTTAGTGCCAGGAAATGATTCCTTAAATTTCTGAGTAGTACCTGGATATTTCTACTCATAGTGGTATATGCATAGTTACAAATGCTGGACAAGTTTTCAAATGTCCATGACACATTGGTTCATTTAGTAACTATAAATATCTTTTTGGTTAAAATAGAAATTTATGTAAAAGTAGAACTTTGTTATGTGGTTATGTGTATTTTCTATGGTAATTTTTTTGTATTGAAGTTGAAGCCCCTCAAAGTTCTTTTGTCATGGTTGTTTTACTGTTTGTTTTTTTGTTGTTTTTTTTTTTCCTCATCTAGAATGTTCTGTCACTTTCAGGTGGTTTGGTTTATGTTTATGTATAGTATGTGTCTGTCTCATTGCTTATTGATTTACACTGGTTTTGTAAAATGAAAACCAAATAGAAAAAAGGAGATCGCATTTTCCAAGTGAAAACACTGCCTGGGAAGGAGAAGCAATGGACTGCAATGCCATGGATTGCTGGAGCAAAACCAGAAGAAACCGATAAGGTGGCTGCCCTGAAACCTACTGCCTTTTTGCTCTATCTGCTGTGGGCTAGCTTGGGCACTTCTTTCTTTTTTTTTCCCTGATGGAGATAACTTTTTTCAGTTGGTACTGAGAGAAGATAGAGTTGTAAACCAGGACCTGTGGTCATGTATGTGTGCGTGTGTGTGTGTATTTATATATATACACACACACATACATGAATGCCAGCAACATTCTACTTAAACGCCAGACTAGCTGTGAAGTTCTGAATGGCTACTACTTGAAAAGAAAATAAATTTTTCCCCGGAAAATTACTGTATATGACTAGGATGACAGCAAAACATGTATTTCCATTCTACATGGCAGTAATTATCTGCAGTTATTTGACACGTCACACAAGAACTTTTGCTTTACGTGTTCACTGTGTACTCATTATTCAAATGAATAATGCTGTAAAAGCAGTTTCACTTCAAAGGCAACCTGGTTCAGAGTACCTCCACACTTCCATACCTCTTTTTTTCATCCAGGAAAAGAGGGAGGTTATCTCCTCCATAAGATGCTTTAACATCTATGCAGTGAAAAACACTATAAGCAGTGGGACTACTAGCAGTGTGATAGTGATGATGGGTAGCAACTGTGTTGTTGCTTTTTTACATCACTTTTGGACTATTTTCCACCACCTAGGAATTGGAAAAAAGTAGGTTAACGTAAAGCTGTCAGTCCTATTTCAGTAACATATATAAATATGAGGTTTGGAAAGCAGTGTATTTCCATCCTGAATTATTTGTTGATGGATGTAGAGAAGTTTGTGTTCAAGTGTTTTGTTACCCCCAGTTTATAAACTTGCTGCTATTAGTAGACCAATACATTGCTCAGTCCTGTTGCTGGACTGCATGTTTCCTTGCCTGTCTTTTAGGATAGTTGGACAAGAGATGAGAATAAAGCAGGGATACCACTGCTAATATTCTTTCTTTTCTTCCTTCTTTTGCTCCAGTGAAAATACTTGCAAATAAGTAATTTTCTGTGTATGAGAAATGTTATTTTGGGTACATCTCATTTGTGCCACTACATTTCTGTATCACCGTACTCCCACAAATGCACAGCATCTGTGACTTAATTATAACAGAAATTGTGACACATTGATATGTATGTCACAAATAAATATGTGAAATGTTATGTTATGGATACCCACAATATATTTTTTTTAATCCATTCCTTTCCCCCTACCCCCACTGCTTGTAAAACAGTATTTCATGTTAGTGTATATGACTGTACCAGAAGGAATTTCCAGGGATTTAAACATCTTCACAGGCTGATGCATTATTGTGACTACAGTAATTTGATGAAAGTGCCAATTTTACCTATGCATATAATCATTTGTACTAAATGCCTTCTCAGGGAACTGGGGTTACATTATGAAACAAATTGTGTGATTGGGAGTTTCCTTTTAAAATATTAGAAAACCTAAAATTTGCAGGTGGTAAAATGCAAAAAGATGGGTGCTATGTGCCTATCTTTACTTATTGGGGGGGGTGGGACGGGGATGGGAGAGACACACACAGTCTGACCACATACTGCAAAGATATATTTTTTTCCCGTCTCTTTAATGCTTTGTGTGGTTAGAAGACATGTGGTACCAGAGTTCAGTAGAAGGAGTATCATAACATTTTTGCTTTTTAATTCAGTCTGTTAATAGATGAACATTTATTGGGTGTGATAAACTAGGGAAAGAAAGTGGGAGTGAGGAACACATTGCCCTGATGGATATTGAATCTTGCATAAGAGCAGTTTCAATAACATGCACCCACATTAAATTTTCTTAGCCACCAATGAAATATGCTTTAAATTTTATTGTAGGGAAAAAAATAGAGGGATTCTTTCTCTTTTCCTTCTCTGTTCTTCTGCATGCCGTATGTGTTGTAGTATACGCGTAGTAGCTTGGTTTAACTTAGGTCAGTTCAGATTCTACATTGCTACTCACATGATGAGTCCCCACGGACTGCAGTTGTCTCTCCATGGCACCTTGGCTTTCCTCTGGTGTGCGCTTCTGCTGTGACTCTCTGTAGTACCATTTTCTACGACTTATCTTATTGAATGTTGTCAAAATGTGTGTTATGTCCATGTTAGGTATGTGTTATTTTTTATTTTAAACTTTTACTTCTAATTTAATACAAGCACTTGTGGAAGGAAAACTGGAATAAAGAATTCTATCCTTTCCAGAGGCTTGTACCTAAACCTTATTTTAAAGGTTTGCTTTACCGTATAGATTTACAGTACTACAGAAAATAGACAAGACTATGAACATAGTTTATGCTTTAAAGCAACCTACCTTTTCAAGTGTGTCTGAGTAAAATAAGTTTTCCTGGTAGAATGAGAACAGCTTTTTGAAAACAGATTATTTAATAGAAACAAATTTGCTTAGGTTATTTACGCATTTGAAAAACATATATATAACATACTATAAAGAAAACCTTGTTTCAGTGTTGTGGGTGTGTATTGTTCAAAGCAAATGTATCTGATTGCCCTGAAGCTCTGAGACAATTAGGCATTGGAAGTTGTTAAAAATTAATCTTTTAAAGGGAAAAATCCCAATAGTAAATATGGAATTACTGCCTAAGTAAACTGTTCTGTTTGGAAAATCCATGGAAATGTTAATGCTTTTAATTTTATAGTGTGATATGCATGGTGGAGAGTTGCAGAACTAGAGCACGACTGTGTGTTGTGGTGACAGCAGTTTTTGTCCCCTCTGTTCTCATGTCCCCTTGCAGGGGTCCCTCCGTGCCCCCCCGTGCTCCTACAGCTCTCTCAGCCGAGTCCTCCTCTGTGTCACGTTTCTCTCTTGCCAAACCTTTCCTTCGTAGGTCGCTGCCGCTCCGCCCGTCACTGTTTAATTCTTTCCTTTCCCTTTTCTAACTCGTCTAGAGCCTAGAAGAGGAGATAACGTCCATTTTATTTAGTAAGGAGGGCTTTTGCGCGGGCTCGCGAGGGCCCTTCGCCGCCGCCAGCGTGTGGCCCGCAGAGGGCGCTGCGGGGGAGGAGACCGCCGCCTCGGCCGCGCCGCCGCCCCAGGTGCGCCCCCGCCCCCCGCGCCCCGGTCCTGGGGCCCGGCCCCGCCCCGCCCCGCCAAGGGCCGTCACCCACCCCCTCAGCCTTCAAAATGCCGGGAAGGGCCCTGCTGCGGCCTGCTCGCGTGTCAGAGCCGGTGAGCGGGGAGGGGGCGATCCGGCTAGAGAGCTTAGCTCCCTGTTTGCAACACTCAAGAAATGTTACTTGGTGCTAGTGTAAACTTCACCAGGAATGCTGGCCTACCCTCTGTAGGTGCTGTGCTTGGTAAACAGCAGAAAAAGCTAGGATTAAGTCACAGATGATGTGGTTTTTTGGTTTGTTTTTTTTTGTTTTTTAATATTCTTACCGTTTGAACTCAAATTTTGCTTCAAACTCTTCACTAAAAATACATTAGATCAAAAAAACTGCCTAATACATAGCTTACAGTAGGCTTTCTGGCATATTCATCACAGATCATTTTGTTACGAAACAAATACTAATGTAACTGCTTTAATCTCATCATTTTGACTCCAAACTCTGAATCCTAATGCAATCATCTTGGTAATCGTGTATTGCTATTCTGACAACATACCACCCTAAACAGCCTCCCTCTTGGTGTCTGTTAAGTTTCATAAAGTAACAGACCAAAGATGAACAACTAATAAAATCTTACAATAAAATCTTTTATTTTTCATGATGATAAACTGATAGTAAAATGCTAAATAGGGTGGGTTTGTTTTGGTTTTTTTTTACTTTACCTTAATATTATTTATCCTTAATTCCTGATCTAACTGAGAGAAATAACTGCCTCAGTAGCATCACTGGCCAATGCATTCATGCTTGTATTTTCAGTCTTTCATAATTAAATTCTTATCTCGATTAATAATGTCCATAATTTTTTCTTACTTTTGAATGGAACATTTCAATGAAGTGGAAGGAAGTAAGCATAATTCTATGTGAATCTTGCAGTGAATACACAGTGTCTGTCTAGTATCATGTATATACATTCTTAAAAGTTTGCTTGGAAACTGTTGCACTGTTGAAAAGGGTTATGCATTGATTTTTGTCCTCTAACTGCTTTTTGTTTCACAGAGACATGCTTCCAGAGCAGAAGGGCCTTGTACTGGAGTCAGCGATGCTGATAAGGTTCTACCGATTTTTTTCCATAGTTAAATTTGGCTCTAACTCTCCCAGTTCATCCTCATTCTTTCTTTCCTTCCTTTTTCAGTTAACCATCACAACCATCTTTTGTCTTCTACATGACATGAACCAGCCATCAGCTAACCTTGTTTCCATCATTTTAATTTATTCATATACTCTACTTTTGTTTTTCCTCATCCGTGTTTTTTGTGCAGAGTTCACATGAGACTCTGGACATAGTGGAGGAGAAGAAGCAGGCAGAGGTTGGGATAGAAGAAACACTAGTCGTAGACGAAACCAACAAAGGGAAAATGCAAGTTACCACTGATGCTGGGGAAACATATAAGGTGGAGCATCTGTCAAAAAAGGACTCTTCATCGTTGGCATCAGATAGTAGCAGCAGCAGCAGTAGTAGTGAGAGTGAGGATGAAGAGGTGGGAGAATACCAGCCACATCATAGGGCAATTGAGGAAGTCATCAGGGAAGAACAGGAAGATGAAGATATGAAAAGGAAAGAACATGAAGAAAAAATACAACATGTGGAAACCACACCAGAAGGCAGTAAGCAAAATGTGCCAGTTGAGCACACACAAGTTACAGCTGAAGATTTGGTCCAGGAAAATGCAGTTACCATAGCTACAGAAAAGAAGAATTTGTCAGAGGAAATTAAGCAAGATTTAGGTGAAGAAAAAGACGAAGAACAGCTCAAACTCAATGGAGATGTGTCTCATGTTGACATTGATGTTGCACCACAAATAATTTGTTGTTCTGAGGTAAATGGTAGAACAGTTTGACAACTAGATTAAGTGGAGGTATTTCTTGGGGTGAAAATATACCTGCCTTTCTTCTTCTCCTATTCCTCCAACTCTTCAGGCATCCAGCAAGATTCAGATCATTTGGAAGGGGAAACCATTGATGAGCAGTGAAATTCTGTCTCCTTCAGTTATGGTTTCTGACTTTTTGCTAGAACTGAGTGAGAATCACCAGTAAGGCAAACCTTCCGAAGACTGACATCTCCTTTTTATCTCCCCCTTACTTTATATGCACATAATGTATATTTATTATTTACATGTTTCCAATGTTTTAAGTCTTGTCTCGTCTATTTGTCAATTGTTTTTGACACGTCCATGACATGTAATTGTGATTGGAAAGCTATTGGCAATTGAAATTAGAAAACACCCATTACAAATTTTTGTTCCTTTTTTTTTCCCCTTATTACTCACTGCTTTTCTTGCCTTTTTTTTTCTTTTCCTTTCAAAAAACAGTATGGATTTAGAGGCTAGAATAAGTATGGCTAGAAAATCGCATAGATGAGAGCACTGTGTTCTGAAGGGATGAGGCATATATCACAATCTTACTATGAAGTCTTCTGGTGCAGTAGATATTTAGGGAAGCATGGGTTCCAGTCACAATCAGTTGTTTTAAGCCAAACCAGGTTGAAGGGTTCGTTACTGGGCAAACTTTATAAAGAAGCAAAATGGGAAAAAAATTAAGCATTAGGATGCATCTTGTTGTAAAGTTGGCATGATCTTCTGCTGAGTTTTTCAACAATTGGGTTATGTCCTAGTTATCTATCTGCTTGTTCTTGTAGTGGTGGCATTTTTTTTTCTTTGCACTTAAATACAAACAACTTACCTTCTTTCTTTTGTTGTCTTTTGCATATACAGGTGTTTTGATTAATAATGTGAAATAATTGATTTATAAGACCTTTAGAAGTTTCAGGCACCCACACTTCCTAAAAACATAGCTAGTTTGGAGAACGGGGAGAAGGGCTGCTCTGTGTGCAAGTGTATGTGAGAGAAAGAAGTTGTTTTTTTTTTTTCCCCCTGGAATTTCCCCCCATGTGCATCCAAAACCAATGGGAGATAGCAACTGGTGCATCTAGAAAAATATCAACAGGCTTTACTAGATTTTTTTTTTTAAGTTCTTAAATATATTGAAAATCTGTTCCAGTAAGATAAGTTCACTGGCTTACAGACCCCCTGGTTAATCGCTTGCTTTGTGGTATTGCAGAGGACCCAACAAGAACACATTTAACTCTAAATGGTTAAAATGACTTTTTAGGATTGTTGTCAAAAGAAGCCACTGATTTCCAGAATTTTTACATTGAATGCAGACCATTTAAAATCCAATTGTCAAAGTTAGTTTTCTTTTCCAGAAGTAGTACATACTAAAAAGTTACTTTTACATAATTTCTTCGGAATTTGTAGTCCTTATTTGCAGTTTGACTGAGCAATGAGAGGTATATTCCCAGGTTAATTCTAATATGAAGGTTACCCATCTGAGCTAGCTGTCAGCTTCTTTATGCAAACTCAGATTTTTTTTTTTTTTTTTTTTCCTAGCGATGGTCTTCTACACATTTTCAGTACCTGTGTTGCAGCTTGGTTTTAGCAGTTGTCTTATGTGATATGTACTGTTGGCTTAAACATAGAACTTTGGCGAGGTTATTAGGAGATTAAATTTTCCTACCATGTTATGTAGATACTAGAGGGCTGGTGTATTAATCTTCATTTCACTTTTCTTATTTATTGCATGCTTTGTATTGGGAAGTCAAATACCTTACTGCAATAACTTTTTGGTCCACTTTACAGACCTTCTTCTGTCTTTTGAATTGATTGGTTATTTCTTGCACCACAGCCTCCAGTAGTGAAAACAGAGATGGTAACTATTTCAGATGCCACACAGAGAACTGAAATCTCCACTAAAGAAGTTCCAATTGTTCAAACAGAAACTAAAACTATCACATACGAATCTCCACAGGTATGGTAGCTGGGTTATTATACTGTTTTCAAGCTGTTTTTTATTCCAGTTACTTGCAGATCAAAATAGATTATGTCAAAAAAAAATGCTTTTCAAAAACCTGTACTTTTTTTCTAGCAGCTAAGATTATACTTTGGCAATGAAATAGGTAAGTGAAACGTTGGTAGACAAAGCAGTATTACTTCTAAAGTTCTAAGTTGTGTTTTTTATATATATAAGGACTTGTATAACTCATTTTTAATAATGGAAACTTGAGGAACATAAAACTTTGATCATAAATTTTTCACAAGAGTGAACCATAACAACAGTCTTACATGACTCGGTAAACATGGGTGACTTCTATTTAGATTTCCTTTCTAACTGAACTAAAGAATGTGTTTAGTAAGAAAACCAGCCTTTTCTGCTGTGAAAACAAAGCTTTTAAATGCCAAAATACAAAAAATATATATATTTTTTTTTTTGTCTCCTTACAGTTTGATGGCAGTGCTGGTGGCAATGCTGGTGTGCTGCTGAGTGCACAAACAATTACATCTGAGTCAATTTCTACTACTACAACTACACACATCACAAAGGTAGAATATAATGATGTCTCTCTGAGCTAAAAAAAAAAAAAAAAAAACCCAAACAAACAAAACAAAAAAAGAAAAACCAAAAAAACCCTACCTCAAAATAAAGTCTTATATTAAGTTTCTCATATGTTTGCTAATTTACTGAAGAAAACTGACTTGAAATGAATTGGGTTAATTCGAGGCATATGTGTGAATTAATCTTTCTGTACACAGATTTTGAATAGAGAAGCCCTAATGAATAAGCGGGAATATCTGGGAACAGGACAGGGAAAGGGAATAAAATATGATTAGGTTTTTTTAGTACTTCATATAGGTCTTATTTCTGTGTTTGGCAAATGAGTATGGACCTAAGTTTTTACAGTTTTGGTCCTGTCGTCACTCGCTGATACCTTACAAAATCTTTGTTAATCTAACTGATTTGTCTGAGGTCCACAGGAGCCCTGCTAATGGCATCAATTACAAGGATGAACTGAAACAATGTTTCCTTAGCCTTTGTGCTGATGATCCTTGTGCTGCTAGGTTTAGAGCATATTTCAAAACAGATCACACCACTAGATTACTTTGAAAACGTATTGTGGTGCTGAATTGTGCTCTGCATTCTACGCTTGAGAAGGAAAGGTAAACTTGGTGTTAACAGGACATCACATCTGTTTCAGTCTCATGTCATATTTCACGACGGAGTATATTAGAACTACCAAAGTGTGGTGATAGTGATTATTATTATTATTATTATTATTAATTTATGTAAATATTTATCAAATTTTGAACTTTTGTCTTTGAACTTTTAACTTAGTGTTCCAAGAAAATTACAGAAAGCATTGTTTAGGGTAAAGCAAAAGGGAAGAGGGAAACATAAGGTCTAAGTTTGGGATTTTTATTCCCCCCAAGACAAGAAGTTTCACATCACTGCTGAGTGGAACAATAATTCACTGCTCACTAGATACCTGTTCAATATATATATTCTTTTAAGATTGAAAGTTGTAGTCACAGAATGACAGTGGAAGGATTATGTTTGAAAGTTGTCAGATAAAAGTCTCGTGAAATAAAGGAAGCTCAGAATTTAAAATGTGTATGTTTTGTTATACAGACTAGTCAACAGGTCTTTTTCAGTCTCGTGCTCCCTTTTGGAATCATTAAGCCACCACATTTTAGACAAAAGTATTTACTCAATAAATTGTGCTATGACAGCTAGAGGGGGGAATAAAAAAGGTGTACATTTACTTGTCAAATTCAGATGTCAGATAATGCTGCTTTTTGAAATTAACCATTAAAGAAAATGGTTTCATTATTGTCTTCTGCTAAAAAATGACTGGGAATATCATACTGCAGTAGATCTTTACCTTTTCTTACCTACTGCCTATCATCGATTAAAAAGACCGCTTGAATTTTCTAAACTAACTTTCTGTTTTACATCCAAAACCATTCATTATTGATAAAGGGACCTGCCAAAATAGTTTTAATATTCTGATGGTGTTCCTAACAGAATCATTTTGGATCTTTTCTAATATGGTCAGTGTATCTTTAATAGATTATTCTTTTCTCTTATGCAGGCTGATTTTTATTTTTTTTTTTTAAAAAAGGGCATTTAAAGTTATTTCTGTGAGAATTTTTCTATAAGCTAAAATGTTTTAAATGTTAGAGTAAGAAACGAAGAAACAAAGCACAAAATTATTTCCATCAGCCATGTGAAATATGTTGAAAATATCTCACCTAAGGTCCATGAACAGCAGAACTGAAAACCAGATCATCTTTGTATTTAATGGTATAGGATTCTCCAGCGACTGAGAAGAGGTCCATGATAGATGGGTTGAAATCAAAGAAAAGACTCCTGGAATTTACTTGTTACCAGATTTATATGGTGGAAGAAGATGGAATTCCAGTTTGTATGCATATCTAGATCTGTTCAAACTTGGGCTCCAATCACAGAAGGAATTCTTTATTGTTTGGTTTTTCTCAAGTTTATCAGTTGCTAGAATATGACTAATTACATAACTGAAAAAGGAGAAGATGATTTAGCACCAATAATATTTACTACTAATTGCAACTCAGTCACAGAGATTTATTTGCTTCAGTACAACAGAAAGGAGTGCTTGGTACCAACATGGAATGATTACAAGGTTGTTTTCTTTTCTTGTGCCCTCTGTAGATGGTAAAAGGTGGGGTATCGGAAACAAGAATTGAGAAGCGCATTGTCATTACAGGAGATGCAGATATTGACCATGATGAGGTGAGTGTGTAAGCTGTTAGCACTTACAGCGTGCTTTTTGTAGTCTGGTGAGATCTGGATGATACTTCAGAAACCTGAAATAGAGAAAACTAGAGAAGTTGAATAAGAGGATGTAGAAAGACCCTGAGACTGTTAACTGTGGCAAAATTGCTAAGCGATCATGTTTTGTGAATCAGGAGCCTTTAGAATATAACTGAAAGAAAAACAGCATTTGTAACTTTGCATCATAGATCGTGTGAATGGATTTCTTTCTATTTCTAAAGGAATTGCTTTTTTGCAAGAGACCCAGTTTGTTTAGTGCCACTTTTACTATTTGGGAGGAGAAGCATTACTAAAGTAATCTTATTTTGATATATGAATCTGGACAGATGGGAGTGTGTACTGCGTTGTGTCAGCAACATCTGAATGCAGCACTCATTTTGACTGAAAGTTTGAAATACATTAAAGCATAAACTGCTCGAATTTTAAAAATAGCCTTTGACTTGTATTTATAGAATTCTGTATAACAGAAGTAATTGGTGATCTGCTGGAATCTTATGTAAGCACCTTGCATCTCAATCAGTACCAAAGCAGTATTTTATGATCTCTTAGAAACTAAGGTTAAAATCGTTTCTACCTGCCTAATTAAGAAGGCTGAATTTAAGCAGCACACAGGAAAATAATTGAGAAAGTGTCATTATCAATTCTTTGTAGTGATGATTATACAATTTTTATTGTTTTCATCTAAGAAACTATAGTAACAAAGTTGATCAACAGTCACTGAATAATACAAATGGAAAAGCCTACCTTCTACATAAAGTTGCAGCGAATCCAATTCTAACTTTATGAAAGCTACACAAATCAACATAACAGGATTTAATTTAACTTCTTAATAGTAATATACTGAGAGCTATCAGGGAATTTAATTTCACATTTTGATTTGCCTTCAGAAAGTGGCTCTTGACAATTTGAATCTCTTCTTGAAACTCATAATTAAATGACAGGGCTGTTAAGCATCCGGCATGGCTCCTGTTTGCCTTGACAAGCGTTCAGTGCCCTTTGGGTGTCTGGAAAGGTCACACAATATCTTTAGTATATCGGTCAATTCTCTAAGCCTTTCTTTGTTTTGAGGTAAGTGAGTAACGAAGTAAAAAAATGCAATTATAAAAAAGTACAAAATATTATTTTAATCACTTCAGTTTAAAGCAGCAGTGATCAGCTTTTAAGAGATTTAAATCTCTAGCACTTTTTCGTCAGTGGATATGGAGCTCTTTAAATACACAGACTAACATACTGGATGTTTATTCTTTTGTCTTTTAGTTCTCTGCATCGCTAGAACAGTTTTCAAGAGGAAAATAATATTTTAATTTGGTGTTTCAGGATACAAATGTTTGTATTATTTGTTGTAAATTAATAATTAGAGACTTAAGGGTTTTTTTCATTGGTTTTGGTTTGATTATAAACACTGATCCTTAAATCTCACCAACCACTTTTAAATCTTCATTGTACTACAGAGATTACACTTGGCATATTGTAAATCATGAACTAATAAAAAATTGTTAGGATTAATACATCAGCAAACATCAGTATTGTACCAATGCACACTGTGTGTTCTGTACATATTTCCTTAATAGGACTTCAGATTCATTATCATTTAATAGTTAAGGTAGCTAATGTTGGTATTCACACTCTGTCTTCAGACTTAGTTATTTCATCTCTCACTTACTACCTATGGCTCAGGAAATTGTCACTTTTATAAAACAAATCAACCTTTTTGTTGCATTATGTTTTTCTTGCTTCTTCTAGTATATTTAGGTGGTTTTAGTTGTGGTTGATACTAAGGTGAACAGTGAGCTTAATGTTGCCTCAGAATGCCTTCCAGTTTCTTCTTTTTTTTCTTGTGTTAGGTACCAACAGTAATACAGCTCACTGAAATAAGATTTAGATCAGTGGAAGGAATAAAAACTCCCAGGTGCTCTTTCACCTGTTCTGCCACAGAGGGTGCTCTTCTGTGTTTGACTGTAAAGCCTTGTATAGAATAGAACAGAATATTTCAGTTGGAAGGGACCTACAATGATCATCTAGTCCAGGTGCCAGCTGTGTATATTGATACATCTCTTAAGAAGATAAAATTTCTTAAAATATGGAGGAGGGATTATAAGAAACTGAGTCATACTTAAATTTACACTTCCCTGAGTTAAGCTAGAGAAAGTTCTCTTAAACTAGTACAAGGAGAAAAAGGAGATTCTTATGCTGAGGAAGAAATTTGTTATGATCTTCTTTCAGAGTTTCAGTATCATGGTTAGTACACATTCCAAAGTATCTTTTCATTTTGTCCAGGAGACTGAAGGGAACTCTTATTTTTCTGTACTGTGTACGTTCTTAAGTCTTATTTGCTAGATCTGTTGCAGAAGTCCAAAAACTTCTGCAGTATAAGAATACTTTTTGTCTCCTGGAATGAGCTAGGAAAGTTACAGGGTAACTTTATGGTTATTTGCTACTTCCTGGAAATTTTGGTAAGTTTTTAGCGTAGCGGTGGGTTTTTTTGGTTGGGTTTTGTGTTTTCAGAATTGGTTGGTTTTGTGTTTTGGTTTTTGGTTTTAACCCCTGAGCCCTCTCAAGTTCAGGAATTTAGAATTCTGAACAATTATAACCAAAATTTCCAATGCTACTTTCCCATTCTCTGGCCCTTCATGAGTATCATTTTGCTGTTGTTGAGGTGCATATTTTGAATACATTTGCAGGCCCTGGCACAGGCAATCAAAGAAGCCAAAGAACAGCACCCTGACATGTCTGTCACAAGAGTGGTGGTGCACAAAGAAACTGAACTTGCTGAGGAAGATGAAGAGTAAAATCAAAAATACCCTGAAGCAAATACTTCAGGTAAGCTTATGTATATAATTAACACAGGAAAACATAGCATCAGTTTTCTGTTGCGTTCTGTAATAAAAGGCCTGAAAAATATAGGGCACCACTGATACATGCTATCACAAAATGGTGAGTTGAAGCAGGCACTAATAGTAGACTGTTAGTGAAATAATTTTTTTCTTAAGTCCAAACTGACATTAATTTTAATTGCAAATTTTCCTTTCTCCCAGTTTTGTCAAACTACTCTCATGGCATTTCCTGTGATGTTTGGTCAATTGAGTTTCGACTATTTCTGCAAAACATGAAGAATGTGTCACATTTTTCTGTTTACTTATACAATTACAGTCCTTATCTTACATCTTGCTTGTTTAGTGGGAAGACTGTGTGCTGTTCCCAGTAGTGAAAGGGCACACGTGGACGTTTAGTCAGCTAATTCTTAATTCTAAGCACATGAAATACTTAACCTTTTATCATTTTCCCAGGCAAGGAGGTAAATGCATTGCAAACTTGAGTTTTAAAGCCTCTTATCAGTTGAAAGAGGTATTTGAAGGAATATCAATTTATTAGGTCTCAATTCTAGGAATAAAAAAAAGAAAATCAGAAAAACCCACCTGCTGTACTTGATGTATTCAATATAAAGAACAGAATGAACACTGAATAAATCTGCTGTTGCACTGGTTACAGGCCAATGTCTTAAAGCTCAGGAACTGTTTAGGTGTATAAAGCTTCAGATTTCCCTTGCTTGTCACACTGGTTGATGTGATGAAGCTGAGGCTTCAGACTTTTTTAACTTGGTGGTTTTGTTAATAACAGATTCAGATTCAAGGAAAAAGGTTTCATTTGGAATGGTGAAATAACAATGGGAGAGATTTTAAAACAAAGTTTAAAAACTATTGTTTTAAGCCTTCTTTGGGAAGCATCTTGGTTTCTACCGAGTCTGTATTTAGCTAGAAGAGTAGAGATGTTATTGGCACATCTCAAGAGGGAAAACTGGTTTAGTACAACTTCAAGCTTTTGTTACGCATTTTGAGCAATGTTAACGTAGGGGGAGACAGAGTAAAAGAAATACGTTCTGTGTTTTTTAAAGAAATTAGAGTTGTGATTCTTATTTCCTTGGTTGAATAATTTATACAATGGTGGTTGTGGCCCATGGAGAAGAGTTGTAGGTCCTGTACCAGGCAGGCATTCCCTTAGTATTGAATTAAGTTTTTTACCAAAGGAAACTACCTGTCATAAACTTCATCATGCAGCTTCAGGAGGCTTCTGGATATCATGAGCACTATTCATGAAGTGCCAGGAATATATGAAAAATTAGACACTGACTTGATTCCAAATTTGATGTAAGCTACTATAAAGAGGGAAGGATGTATTTCACATAATCCTGATAATTTCTCACATTGAGAATTCCTGTATCTGCGTTTCCTAAGAGCTGAAGATTTCCCTGTTGGGTATCACTTCCATGATCCAGAGGAGAAAAGATGCGTCAGTTTGAGAGGATACGAAGTGCACCTACTGAATGCTACTCTATGAAAGATGACCATTATCAAGGAATCTGAGTCCTCCTGAACTAGTCACTGATGACAGATGTGTATTTTCAGCTGAAAGACATAAGCTGTAGCCTTAGTTTATTTCATCTACCCACAAGTGTCTTGCTTTTCTTTAAGATCTGGATAGGAGTGGAGGAACCTGTGTGGCTGAGGAAAGGGAGAGCTAATGTGTGTTGCCAACTGCTGACATGCATATGGTCAGTTAGAGGCTGCATGTTGTGAGCTGTTGGGGAAAGAGTTTTTCTCATCTGTTGGCAGAATTGTTGGTTCCCATCACTGCACACATCAGCTCTTCTGAGAGTTCATCCCGAACTCCAGCTACCTGCAGCACTGCACAGAGCAAGGGTGTGGTGTGCCATGGAGAAGTCCACAAGGGTAGGAGCAGGATGCCTGTCCTCTGCCTGCAGACAGAACGTTTACCCACCTTCTCCATCAGAGTGGTTTCCGTCTCCTTTCCTGGACTCATACAGATTCTTCTAGAACTACAATGGTTGTTTTGATTATGTGAGTTCATAAAATGCCTCTTGGCCAGTTTTCCTCTAAGCTTGCTGAGAAGCTGGTGGTTTTACAATACAGTGGAGCTAAGCTTGAGCTGCCCCTGAAAATGTCTTTAGTTTGGGGCAGATTATTGTGTGTTTGGCAAAGGAATGAACAATTTTCTGTTCTCATAACTGTACAAACTGTACAAACCAGGACAACAACATGGATCGAGTTTGGAAGTGCTTAGTCAACACTAACCTGGATATTAATGTTATAACATTAATACTTTTTAAATTATTATAACATTATGTTATAAACTGTGGAAGTAACAAAGCGGGAGTTGCTTGTGAAGGGAGGATTGGGGAAAAGTCACCAAAAATTAGTCACCACAAATCTCTGTATGTTTTTTCAGTGTTCAGCTGGGTTTCTTTCATAGCTTTGTTGCTTAGTGACATTCAAAATGGGTATAGCATGTATGCTCAGGCTTTGTTTTGAAAGCACAGGAGAGGACATGGAGCTGTACTGAACTGTGAGATAGGGATGTGTGGATGAGTCCTCACATCACATAAATGCTCCAGAAGGGCTTGGAAAAATCCACATTGCTTCTAAGAGAGCCATTTGTTTGTGGCAAAGAGAGTGACTCTGGTTTAGGTAACTTCACTGGTCCCATGGTACACAGCAACATTAAACACGCACGCTCAAACCATCCTTGTATTTTCAGCATTTACAAAGGAGGATCTAAGGTGGAAAGATACACTGAGACAGGGGAACAGATCATTTTGATTTGCAAGGGTTTACTATTATAATATGTGCTACCATCACATTTTTCATTTATTATTAATCAGTGTGAATATAAAGCTCTTGGGAGCAGGAATTGCCTCTTCTGCTATATTTGATCAGAATGTGCCAGTTTCTTCATGCTACCTTAATTGAGAAAAGTGTCTTTCAAGTAGGCGTTCAACATAATCCATCCCATATAAGTAATTGCCACATCTTTCTTGAAGGAAACTGTGTCATGGGAGGAAGAGACAATCTTGGCAGGTTTGCACCACATTTCTACATTAGTGATGAGCTGCAAAGTTGATTCTCCTCCTTCATCAAATATTTCACTACTTTGTAAAAATTGTGTTCAGGAGAAACATTCAAAGAATTCCTTCTGTGTGCTGAGGGTGGTTTTTGCTTTTTTTGAGAAATATATACATTGTAGAATGGTGTTTGCAATGTATCAGAGAGTGTCAGATGCAAATTGCTTTACAACTCTTGGTCTGAAATGTTTGTGAGAGAGTAAAAGAGGACTAATATTAAGACATTTCACCATGCTGGTCTTGTATTTGAGACCTGGTGACTTGTTTGACTGATGATGCATTTGAGTTAAACATTAAGGAGAAAATTTAGTTGTCTAAACACAGTCCACCTGAAGTGCTTTGAACATCTGTCTGCAGCTAGGACCATCAAAAGCCCTATGCCCTCCCATAGCAGCAACTGAAGGACAGGTGGGACTGCAGAAACAGCTTTAGACAATTGTGTTTAGGCAGTGGGGTCATGCCACAAATTTTGATTAGTTGTTTTTAACGTGATGAAAGCTCTGCCCTGATGACTATGGCAGCATTAGTTTTGTAGACTTGTTTTCTCTAATGAAAGTGAGAGATATTACACTCTAATTCTGAGGAATTGTTAACTGACCAAATACCTTAATTTTTTGTCTGCACCAGATTGTGGATTAAATTTTTTGGTAAATCTGCAAGAGGTGACTTTTAAAATACCATGAGAATTTGGGAGAGGGAAAAATACAGTAAAGCAAGAAAAACATTGATAGAAACTGAATTACTGTTCACCACGTGATTGAAGGGGGCTCTAGTTCATGCATCATTTTTTACTGAGAATTCCCCCCCCCCCATTACCTACATGGAAAAAAGACCTTTTGACTCTCATGGTGTGACATTCGCATGGTATCTGTTATGAATGCTTATGTAATCTTCCCCCTTCTTTTTCTTCCAGAAGTAAAAATGATACTGACTGTGATCATGACCAGGAAGAACTGTAATCATTCCAAGTCATCACTACTCTACCGAATTCACCAAGCCTAGCAATGATGGCCAGATGTTCAAGACTTAAATGCCAATACCAAACTCCATTTTAACATCTTTGGTCTATATTCCCTTACAATCTTTCTTGTTTATTTTTTATAACCACTTCTTAACAATCGTAGATTTTTTTTAAATGAAGTTTTAGAGGATATGATCTTCTTTTGCACAGATACTTGTATTTTTGAAGCTGATTATTAATTGTATGAAAGTGAACAAAAAAGAAGTCTGGAAGGCAGTGTTCACTGGAGCAGGTGGTAGTTGTGCAGGAAGAGGGATCTTTACTAATTTAGATATAGTTTTTTCCAAATATTTCAAATGAAATCTCTTACTGGAGTAATTTACAGATCTTCTTTTTTTTTTTCTTTTTTTTTTTTCAGATTATTCAGGTAAATATATGGTATCACATAACAAAGATTTTTATAAAAATACAACATTTCCTAAAATTTGAAAAATATATTTCTTTGGATAAATTTTATACTGATATCTCTGTAACTCTTTCCATTCTAAGGTCCTCCTCTCTGTGGAGCAGAGATGGTGTGCCAGTCAATAGAGGAGAAGGAGTTGCAGACACATTTCTTCTGACTGAGCACTGTGTTCTTTTTGCACTTTGGTGCCAATGCTCAACTTTTTGCAGACGTTTTGCTATCTGCAGCATTCCAGATAAGGAAAGAAGGAAGAACAAAATAATCTTTCTCTTCTTCCAACAAGAGATGACCTAGGCAGCTTAAAACCTTAGTGCTTTTTTTTCTTACTGCGTCCAAACTTCAACACTTCCATTATTTGAATACACACGTAGAATGCTCGCTTTCTATTAAACCTCACTGTCTCCATGTTAGAACTGACATTTCTGTTACTGAGAAGGTATATGTTGCAGCTGCTTCATCTAATGGTTAATGCAGGTTTTTAGGATACTGAGTAAAACTGTACAATGGACTCCATTCATAAAGTAATAAGAGAGTACCATCATTTGAGACTGCCATTGAGAAAACCTGTTAATTATTTTGGATTTTATTTTGTTCATGCAGGGGGTGGTTTGTTTGGGGTTTTTTCTGCTGTTGACTCTGTGTATAGTTAAAATGCCAAATTAGATTTATAGCAGCTTAAAGTTATATTAAGTGTTATTTTGCTTTCTGTAATTCTGTTATAAAATAAAGTTGTTTATTCTCTGTATGACTTTCAGCACTCAGACATAAACTTGGAAAATATTTAAAGTGAGCAACTCAGTTACAAGAACTGCAGTTTTAGAGACCACAGAACCTTGAAGAGTAGGGATTAGTAAAAGTAGTCTCCAGGATGATCAGAAGGATGGCACAATTGACAGGCTCCTAAATACTGATAGAAAGAATCAGTGTTTATTAGCCAGCTTCCAGTAAGCACCCTGGTGTCTGTGGTTCAGAGAAGAGATCGTTCAGATGCTGAAGCAGATTAGACTTGGACAGCACAGCGCCAGCTAAAATGCCCCTCAGTCTGCAAGTGGTTCTACTGAATTCACCAGGTTAGGGTGTACTATGGTCTTCAGGTAACAAGCCAAATCATAATACTTCTCACTACGTTCTTTTTCACTTCTGAGCAATTTATTTTTGGTGCTATTCTCAGTTTAGATTGCTGCCATCTGTCAGCACGCTTGCTTAACAGAAATTCCTATTAGTTTTGGCTTTGTATAATTTGGATAGCATAAGACAGCAGTAACCAAGATGTTGATTTCTATATGTATAGGCGTTTTCAGTTATATCCCACATTACCCAGAAAAATAGTAGATGGCAACCTTACCTGCTTTTCTTCAAAAGCAGAGATATTCTGCCTTTCAAAAAGGGGAAGAGAACCCCACCCAGCCTAATAACATAAGAAAATGGCCACAACACTGTGCATGAGTAGGGAGGTTGTCAAGGAGGTGGCAATTTTGGCATATGTACGTGATGGAGGTCAAAATAGAGATACTTGCATTTAGGGGCATGTCTTAATGGATTTTTCATACAAAAGGATATAAGAAAAAGCTCTATAAAATCTTTCAGGTAATTTTGATATGATGTAGTGTTAGTTGCAGAACTCATTTGATGGGAGGAAAGCATGTTATTTCAATTTCTTACTGATTTGGATCTTTCTGATTTGTTAGACACTAGATCAGTATTGGTTTTTATTGCAATTGTATTTAATCCTTAAAACTGCAAATATAATATTATTGAAAACAATATTACTTTCCCTAGGAGCTGTATTTTTTCAAATACTAACCAGAACCTTTTGTCAGTGAAAAATTAATAGTGCTTTCAGGTCAGCATAGCTTGTGCATAGCTATCACTTCCATTGATTAAACATGTACTAAATAAACAACAGTTGTCATGCAGAAAACAGAAGCCCCAAGTGTGATCAATCCTAAAAATAGTCAGGTTTTACGGATTCTGGTTGTATGTAATTATTTAAATATTCTGGAATATTGTGCAATTCTGATGAGTTTTCATTGTTACTTTTTTTAATATGTCTATAAGAAAAACTGCAACATGCAACAAAAGAAATTGTTCTCAAGGCATTTCACAAGCTGGCTTATAATACACAGGCAATTTCAAATACAATTATAGGCCCATTTAATGAGAAGATAGTTCAGTAATTAATTCTGCTTAAATACTTAAAAAAGTGAGTCATTTGGGTCCTACACAAAAATACTTAGTATGTCTGTCTTTCTATTCATGATCACTGAAGATTCCATAATAAATGTGGGAATTGTTCTACGGTTTATTTCCTAGATTGAGGTTTCAAAAAGGACAAGCAAGCAACTCTGGTGACAGAATTTTTTTTTTTTTTTTTTAATATTGTTCAAAGTGATGAGCAACTACAATACAAAGTGTTTCTTGAAGTATTCTTCTATTTCACAACTCAAGCTGAATGGCAACTTTTAGTTTGGCCATCAAATAGATGGAACGAACGAAGTGAAATACTATGACAGAGGTCAAAGTTTGTGAGATTTGATCACAACCAGAATGACGTCCTGGCCAGGGTGCAGTGCAGTGGGAGCTTCTCAGCTTTTAGGCACGTTAACTGTGGAAGTTGGCTTCTTGGAGCAGCTGGTATCGCGCACTGTTGACATGCCTACACCTCTAGAAGGTTTGAAACTTTTGATTTTCAGGCTCCTCAGTTGTCTGGGGTTTCTATACTGCACTTGAAAAAAGAAAGATACTTGGATTAGTAACATTAGCACAAATTACAAGCATTGTAAGCGCTGCTAATATCTGTAGTGTTAAATTAATCTGCTTGGCATGAAGCAAATCCTACAAAAGTTTTAGGAAGTAATTCTGTATGAATGGCTGGACTGGGCCAGGCAAAATGACTGACACTCCCAGATTCCTGTCTCAGCGGGAGGCTGCCTCAGGGTATGTGTAAGAATAAGTACTGTACTAGAAGGTTGTGCTTTCCCAAATATTCTTCCAGTAATTTTAAAAGACTTACCAGTCTATCAGTCTTCCATATTTATCTGGAATTTTTGGCTAATGGCTTTTTTAAAAAAAAAAAATCCTCTGGCAGGCATCTTCACCACTCCATGTGTCTCAAAAAAAAAAAAAATAACATCACCATTGTTTCTGAACCTTCCTCTGCTAGCTTTGTTTGATAGCACCACTGAAGATACTAGAAGAGACACCCAACAGCCATTCGCTCTTCAGACATTCCCCAGCCAAAAGCTATTCCACAGTTCTTTATCATTCTTATTGCCTTTCTCTGTACCTTTCCTACTTAAATGTTGAGACTTTAAATTCAGTTCTGAGAAGTGAAGAATAATCAATCTCAGGTAGGCAGGAATGTTTTAAACAGGGTTACTGGTTGTAGATGGAGTGTGATCCTAGCTTCACATTACTGCTAGTGACAGGAAGACGGAAGACACCTCAGTGATAACAAGAATTGAAGACAAATGATTTCCTTGCAGTCACTGTTTTCATACATATTTGGAAAATGCTTTTATAATTTGTCTAGATAGCAACTTAGTTCCATGGTGTTATTTAAACATGTATTTTTCAAATGAATTATGTAAGATACAATGATTATGTTTCATGCTGGTAGCATGACAACAGAGGTATTTCTTGACACTGTTAAGTAATGCAACTGAAAACAGAAAGGTCTGAGGATTTTTGTGGCGTGTTACTGAGCCTTGAATGTCAGATCCTCCTACATGTTAGCAATTACAGCTCAGTAAGTAGTTGTGCCAAAGGCATCCGGTGCATCTCTGTAGTGTTCTCTGGTTTCCATACTACCGTTTTACAGTAAAGTTCTGTTAAAGAGTGATACCACTTTTCAACATTTTAAATCTCTCCGAGTCATTTTGTGAAATCAACAAAATCGATTTTAAGTTGTGGTCAGGCTTGCTAAACTTCAATTCTCTGTCTTTACATGTGGTCCAGGCCAGCCTTCTTGGGTGGGGGGATGTGTTACAATTCCTTTAACCTCTGATCAGTATCCAAGATCACTGCTTTTCTATTGGCAGCATCTTTCTTAAATATAAAAAGTCAATTCTTCACAGCAGCTGTCTCAACTTCCCACAAAGGTTTGTGTAGATGGTAGTTAATAAAAGAAAAGGAAAGAATATATTAGTTAAAGGTTTTCTTTAAAGATATCAATATCACAGACGTTCATGTACTCAGTTAAACAATAGTTTCACTGGTGTGGTTGAAGAATGAACTTTTTTTCACTTCAAAGCTGCAGGTCTACTCTGAAAGCAAAAATTTTCTATCTAAGAATTATGTAGGAATAACAGGAACTGTTCCATAGCATAGGACACTGAGTCAGTTGGCAGTGTGTCCTGCGTGTTGCAGGGATCTATACCAGCTGCTTCTGAGGAAGTTGTCAGACACTTAAATAGCAAATAATGAAATAACATACCTCTGGAGAGGTACACAGCAGAGTCACGGCAGGAGGCCAGTAGGTCTGACTGATTCTGGACTATGTTTTTTCTAGGAGAGACAGCTATAAGCAGAGGTGGACCACTGGAATCAAACTTCCAGATCTCTCCTTAGACACCGTGTTATACCTGGCTTTAACTTTTGGATCTAACTTTTGGATCTCTACTACCTGCAGGGTGTTTGATCTTCAACATCACAGCCCACAGGAGCACTGACACTGAAGAAACTGTGTAACCAGAGCAGACCTTTTTATCTCTGTTAATAGTAGCTATGTCAGTTAAGACCACCTTTCTTCAGAATCTTTATGTATTGGTATCTCAATCTCTGTGTCATATGAGTATTCATAAATACGCTTCTGACTCTTTTTTTTTTTTTTTTTTTAGTGAACTTCCTGTAATGACACAGATGTAAGCTTAGAAGCATTGAAAATGAAACAAAGTATCACATTCTTTTCCATCTCACTGCTCTCCTGGGATCATGATGGATCTTTCAATGAGAGCAGCTTTCTTTTGTTTGCTTTGCTCTTGTACTTTAAGTACTGGTGCTGAGTTCACTAGGGGTAGGAGCAGACTCTGCCTTTACAGTCAAGTCTGGATGTGTACTAGGGGTAAATAAAGTGTGCGCTGCTCTGGACTATGTTGTAGCAGGCCTGCCAGGCAGTGTGAAAGTCCAGGTATGGCAGTTGTTCGGGGAGCAGGTGCTCCCCCAAGTCCCAAGTAGCCATGAATGTAAGGTCCTCTCAACAGCCGGGTGATGGGGAGCTATCGTGATTTCCTATTTGAGAGCTGCTTTGGAGCGCGTCTTTCTTTTTGCTTCTGAAACACATCACATTTGTTGCTAGTCAAATGAAATTTCTAGTGGGAAGTTTAAGAATGGGAGGCCTGCACACTTTTCTCTTACTGGGAAATGCCAGTCTATAGAGAGAGAAAAATCAGAAAAGTGTCTTCAGCCTTTTGACTGCAAAATGTTGGGAAAGCACTTCTGGCATGGTCACAGGTGGGACTTCTTGAAAGACACAAAGAACCTGTTAATGGGCATCTGGAGTGAATTGCCAGCTGGAGGTGGGGAGCCCTGCAATTGAACTGCAGATTCCTCTGCCAGCTGACTGAGATAAACTTGTTTTTACTATCTTTGCTCTTCCAGGTTTTGCTCTTCCAGGGTTGCTTCCTCTGAAGTCAAAGTCTGTATGTCTGTCTCGTATTTAACTTTTGCTGTTCATGTTAATGCTGTGACTTCTGAATAAGTGCCCAGCTTTTTTCACCCAGCCCCTTCTGCTGATTTCAGATGTAA